GTAACTTCAAATCATTTTGTTTGTCTTTTAGACATTGCAGCAACCCTCATACTATCATTATAATACTTTCTTATTATTAATAGTAGACAAGTTTTAACTAAAGGAGAAAAGACGTCTGTTTTATGTTCTTTATATTATGTAAACCAGAGACGGTTCGTGGCCAAGTCTGCGAGGAGGCTGGCCCACCCTATATACTTTACACAAATATATATTTCTATTTGAATACAATGTAATATTTCTGCTCTTTGTATTCTTATAGACATATATTTTTATTAAGTATATAGGGTGTGCCTTTTAAAAGTAGTCTCCTCATAGACTAGGCCACGAGTAGCCTCTGATGTAAACCATCTAAAATCAACATGGTCTGGTAAAAAAAATTTAATTTTTTGAATTATGTTGTCAATATGACCCAAAAGTGGTAAAACTATTTCATGAATTTTTGAAAGAAATTCAATAACATTTCTTTGTACATAAATAAAACGTCTTTTATCATCATTTTCTTTAAAATAAGTAAAAGTATCGATGGTCTTCTAACATGTCTGTAAATTAACTTTACACTCTTTGCAGTCAAACTTATTAAGTTTTTTAATAAACCCTGCAACATAACTAGTGGCCTGACTCAAATTCTGCTTCATTTATTAATTTTGTATATATTATTAAAATGAACTTTATCTTCACAGGACTCTGTTTGGAGGTGTGATAACAATATTACTAAGTACTACTTTCTTTGGTGTATCTGAATTTGAGGATGCTAAAGCAAGGCAAAGCAAATCTTTTAGCAGTCTTGAACGATTTGTGTTTGTAAACGATTTTGTATCAAAATATGATTTTTACCGATTTTTACATAGGTAATGTATAATGATTGGTTGTAAGTGGAATGAGTGGAATGTTTAAAATGCGACACCATTCTTTTCTTTGATCAATATCAGAAGGAAATTCAAAAATGTTTGTTCTTAAAATTTACGTTTGAAATGGGCCTTATAAAATGTACTATAACAATTATGCGTTTATAATGAATTCTGCCTGGTAAAGAGATGTTAAAGCATCAAAATACCTTTACTTGATTTTAAATAATCCTAAATAACATATCTAAAAAAATAAATACAATTAGTTCCACTCACATGTTTTCGTCGACAACCAAAACCATAACAAAACCACACATTTGTTTGATTTTGATGTTATTTGTTGACAGCGCGCGCGAAGCTCGCTATAGCGGGCAGCCAGCAGTTATGCAGCGGACAGAAAGCCATCTTCACATAGTACAAATAACTAAGTGAAGGCATGTATTTTTAGTTTGTTGTAATGTATGAATTAAAGTTTTTGAAACAACACTTTTTGTGTGTTACTGAACGAGATATTATTAAATTAATTAATGTGCTTTACATTTTAATACAATTTTGCTATTGTAAAACGGACTTCAGAGCACCCAAGCGCGGAGTTGCATGCACAGAAACGTGTTTACGTATTGTGCATATGATATAAACCCCCGTTAGTGTGAGTGGCGATGGACAAGCACCATTTGTTTCTATCGCTCTCCTGAAGATTTTGTTTCTATGCGCACGCAAAGCTTTCGAGTAATTTTTATAAATGCTAGGGACTGTCTAAGCCAAATGTTTTGATTAACAAAAATAAGTTTCTTCAACAATCCTGTCCTAAGCAACAAAAAGAAAATGATAAAAGATAAGGCAAGCAAGAAATAACAAGGGAAACCAATCTTCTGGTAGGGAAGTCAGTGACACTTTTTTGGTATACATTTTGCGCCATTCTAATTTACAAATTTATCTCTTATTCTTACCTCATAGAACATGAAAATACTTTGCTGCAGACGCACAAGAACCAACGATGTACCGCTCGATGTCATATATTTGTTTAGATAATTAACTTGACATAAACCTTCTCAGTTCAGCTAGTTAGGGAGTTTAACTTTGGATTTCGCAACCCGAGTTCAATTGTCGATAAAAGCAATCTTTTAATTTTGAAAAATATGAAAAATGAATTAAAGGGACCAGTAATTTTTACTTGTTTTAAATACATTTTATTTATCGTCATATGCAACCCATACAATTAGGTCATTCCTTAATCTTTACGCTATTTATTTTGTACTATTCGGAACCTTTATCAAAAAGAAGAATTGAAAAATGTGTACCTTGCGCACATAAAAATGTCACTGACTTCATACTATTCTTGTCTAGGAGTCCAACAAAACCTTTTTTAACCCACAAAACTAGGCCACGTTAAGGTATATTACAGTTGGGTTAAAAAAACAGTATACAAAACAAATTTTATTTACAAACATACTTTACTTTTATACACAAATTTTGTCAAGAGGTCGTACCTGAACACTTTTATAATTAGATGAGGGGAGATGAAAAACATTAAGTGAGGAAAATACATTATTTTTGGTAATCAAATCTTTGGAGTATTTGCACTAAAGCAAATGTGATTTAGATCGCCTTTTTCATGCATATCCAAATTTCAATCTAATGTTATGTTGAGTACGGGATATTAATGCACGGAGACCTTAAAGATCTAATGCATCCAGGAAATAAGTCTCGATGCTTATAATGACCCTTCCAATCCTATCTTCTCAAGGAAGTGTAAGATTTGAAGTGGCTTCCAGTTAGGTTTAATTCAATTTATTCAGTTGAAATAGATTACAATATTCTATACAATGTTAAATGACAATGATAGAATGAAAATATTAAATACAAATGGAAGTCAGACAAACGCAGCATCACATTAGGCTTGAAAGTCTGTTTCGTGAACTGCATTGCATGACTCCAAACTCTGTATAGAATAACCATTCCTAACTTATATAATGAATATAGCGTATAGAAGGTAAGGCCAAAAAAACTTACAAAATTTAAAAATAAACAAATTTATTCCGTTTTTTGTTGTTTTTTTTTGTTGCTAAGAAAATACTGGACGTGTCGTCCAAGAGTAGTACACTTCAATAATAAAGAGGAATATTATTCTCAAGATCAAGATGGTTAAGGGATGTTAAATATATTTGCATTTTTTTGTATAAACGTTTTAACCTCAGTTTTAAAAAAATTAAATTTTGTTGTTAGTTTTGGGCTTTTTGGAAGCTTGTTAAATAATTTAGGTCCATAGTACATAAAGGAATGTTGGGTAGCAGTTTTATGAAAAAGTTCAGTTTTAATATCAAAGTTAGTTTTTGACCGAGTATCCCTCTGATGATTCAGGATAGTGAACTTTGATGAATCATGGAACATCCTGGTTAGGCAGTTGTAAACATATATTAAGTGAATATTTAGTAATTTAGTTTCTCGATATAAAAGATTTGTGGAATGATACTTAGGTACTCTTTCTAAAAATTATTTTAAGAAATTTGTAATGGTGATAGAGTTGATTTGAATGCTGTGTACAAAATAATTAAATTTTTTCTCGTTAGGATGTCCCGTAATTCATAAAATTTGTGCATTAAAATTCTTAGTCGTTTAGAAACATAGTTGATGTGGTCTACCCATTTTAAATGTTGATCAACAATAACTCCTAGGTACTTGAGAGATTTGGTTTTTTCAATTATAAAGCAGTCACAATTATTGGCAGCAACACAAGATGGTTTATGCAGTTTAATATAAAAAAATTTAGGCTGATCTGTAATGGTGGGAGAAAAAGTTATATATTTTGTTTTTTTCATGTTTAGAGAAAGTTTGTTATTATTTAACCATTTGTAAACGCTTTTCATGTTATGTTCAGTGGTAGATTTAACAGTATCCCATGTAGATCCAGTAAAAATTATTGAAGTGTCATCTGCATAGCATATTATATGACCTTCGAAATTATTTATTTTACTGATACTGTTAATGTAAATTATTTAAATAATAGGTCCTAATACTGTGCCTTGTGGTACTCCCATTTGTATTATAGGCTCTGAACTAAATTTATTCCCTATTTTAACTGTTTGGGTTCTATTAGATAAGTAGTTATTTATTAATTCTAAAGCGACACACCGGATGCCATAGTTATTAAGCTTATTAATTAATAAGTAGTGATCAACCGTGTCGAAAGCCTTAGCCAGATCAAGAAAAACAGCTAAGCTTTTTTCCGATCTGTCCAAGGTCTCCACTGAGCTATTGACAAGGTCCATTATGGCATTTTCGGTATTTGATTTTTTTATGAACCCAAATTGTCTTTCTGTTATCACATCATTTTTATTTAGAAACTCCATTAATCTTCTCTTGTAGGAATGTTTAAAAATTTTTGTAATATTGTTTTATAGAAATGGGTCTATAATTATTTAACTGAGAAGCTTTAAATATTGGTGTAACACTTGAAACTTTTCATTGCTGAGAAAGTTGGCCTGCTAAAAAACAGATTGATTATGTATACTAGTTTTTGCACTTATATTATCTGGCCCTGGTGAGGCGTTCTTTTTTAAGTTAGAAATGATAATTGCTAGTTCATTTTTAGTAATAGGTTCTAGAAATAGTGAGCTGCGAACTGTTACATCTGCTAAGAAGTTTTTTGGCAACTCTTCATTTGGGATTTTCTTAATCATTTCTTTTCCTATATTTAGATAGATCTTTTCTATTTGGTATGCCCTTGGATTCTGGAGTGGTACACATTCAGTCAGAATGAGAATGGAGGTTTCGTCCTTCTTCTCACTATCTTCCACTACTCTTAGTTTACTAAGGTGTCCTTTCATTTGGCAATGCCTGGTAAGGATCTGTTACAATGCGTAGCCTGTTCTTGCTTATGCTGATGCAGGCTTCCGATTTTTTCTGGTTATATTCACCCAAAAGTGTCTTAGTCTAACGTAGCCCCAAGAGATTGTTCTATTCATTGGTTCTTCTACTACCCAATTCTTTTTAATCTCTCCTAATATTGTGTTACTTTTGATACCGCAGAACGGCTCAGATCCTAAAAAGTGTGTTTGAGCCCCTTTCCTTGCAAGATTATCTGAAATCTCGTAACCCTTTACCCCGTTAAGTTTTAATTCAATATTGTTACTAACATATAAATATTAATTTTAGAAGTGGGTTCGACTCAAATGTTAATAGCTGGTCACCGTAGTGTTTTGGTTCATATAGAACATCAAATTCTTGGAAAACATGATGTAACTGTCCTACCAAGTATATCTGGAGAAATAGGAAGTTTAGCTTACGATAGCTACAATAACTTACTGTTAATCAGTGATTTTGGAACTAAACAAATCAGGACACTCAGCATGGATACAGGCGTCAGCAAAACTCTAGATATCGATGGACTAGGCCTCATTACCGCCATGGATTTTGGTAATTATTTTATTTAATTAATAAATAAACACTCCTCGTAATTTATAACACCTTTGAAATCTAGTTTTAATAATATTTAACAATCAAATATACATTTAAACTAACTGCTATTTAATAATTAGTTATAAATCCAGCCTTTTTCTTTGAGTTTCCTTGATCTGATGTTTTATTTAAAATTAATTCTAAACATCCTCTAAAGTAATAAAGTATGGATTAATTTTTATTTTCCTTGCCTTCTAGAAAGGTTAATAATTATATAATATTGCCTTTTAGCCGTAAAGATAGATTGTCGAATATTTTTTAAATAAAACTTAATTATTCTTTACAGATTCCAACAGCAACAATCTATACATATGTGATAGATTTCGAAAAGTAGTAGAAGTAATCGATCTTAATACAATGGCCAGAAAGATATTAATTCATGATACATTTGGAGAATATCCTGAAAGTATTGCCGTGGTTCCTGAAGAAGGGTAAGTTTATTGGATATTCTTTTGTTTTTTGTTTTAATTTTTCTGTATTTACATTAAGTTCATTTAAAATAAATAAAATTTACAAACCATGTGTCACAAAATAACACGAGCGTCAATTTCCCTCCAGAAAACTACTACTTCTTTGGCTTATACCATAATAGGCATTGGATTATATTTAAAGAATATAATAATATGTTGAGTATACTTATAATACAGTATCTGTTTGCTTGGAAATTTTCTTGATTTATTTTACGTCTTGGTCACATGTGAGTTTGAAATTATTTTCCTTTTTATTAAAATTGTTTGTCCCTATTTAGCTGACATCAAGGGAAACCTCAGAAAAATCCATATCATTATCATTGCAATGTTTAACAATTTATATTTTTCTTAATAAGGAGTCTACAAGTTCTTGTAGATTGTTTGAGAGTTCTTCTGCTTCTTAAATAATTCTCATGTTTGGTGGATATTTTCTTCTTATATGTGGTTTCTTTAGCATCCATGAAAGTCCTGGTCTTCATGTTGTAATATTTTCTTCTGTTGTGGTGTCATTTTCTTGGATTATCCTGTCGGTTATTAGCTTTCGAAGATGTGTAATCTAGAATTAATACTGATGGAGTTTATATTAACAATTCGAAAGATTAGGAAGAGACCGAATCGCCAAACCTCCTGTGTCTAGTCTCCAATCAAATCATCATGAGATGGGGTAGAAACATTTAATTAGGAGATTGGAGATAGTTTTTAGTGGATGGTTATAGTAAGATTTCATTGCAATTCGTTGATTGCATAGTAGGGTGTCAGATTCTGAGCAGTTTAGATCACGGTGTATCCTAAAGTAAACCAAATTCCATCCAGAGCAATAACTTTATTCTTTATTTTTAGTGTGATGTTTGTAAGTTTCGCAAAAGACATTAATGGACCCAGTCATATTGATCGTTTCTTTATGGATGGTACCGGTAGGACACACGTAATAGAAACCAACTTAGTAGGATATGTTTCGTTGACTTATGATCCAGATCTGCATAGAATTTTCTTTGCTGACGCTAATACTGGAGTTATCGAATCAACAAGTGCAGAAGGTATGCTTATTAATATATTTATAAATTAAACTTTTTTAAAATGGTAGTTAGATTAGATTATAATAAACATAATTTATGTTTTTTAATTAGGTGACGATCGCCATCATTTTCGAACTGTCTATGCCCATCCTATAAGTGTGGCTGCTTTAAAAGATGATTTGTTCTGGGTAAACTCACATTCCAAAGATCTGTTTTGGTCTGAAAAGAAAACAGGCTCAACTTATGACAAGAAAATTACATTAGGTATGTCTTTTCAAAAATTATGTCAATCCAAAATTAACTATTTTGCTCTAATAATAAAAATAATTTATTAAGGTAGTTCACTCGTAAAACAGCTTTTCTTAAGAGTTCAATAAAATTGAAATATAAGGTTAATAAAAGTATCTTTTACGTAACTAAAAAAAAAAAAGTTTTTGACCGTCTGTGAAACGAGATATTAACATTAAAAATGTGCATAATTAACATTCTTGAATCCTGTCATGCATTTATTTCAAAATATCTCGAAAACAGTTCTTACTATATTTTTTTAAAAACTTATGTAATACAAGAAGTTATAAAATTAAAAAAAAAAAATGCTGAATTTTTTGACCGTTTTGGTAAAAAGATATAAATTTTTAAAATAAAAATTATTCTAAAGCAGTCGACGCCTAGTGGGGTACAATGACTACAACTTGACAACATTGTAATCGCTACACTTAACGCGCGATAACTCGATCAGCTAAGAGGTTGTTATAATCTCGCGACGTGTTCTTGAAAAATTAATTCGTCCACTGTATTTGAGAACTGGGACGGTTCTGTTTGAACCAAAACAAACCCTTAAAATTAGTATTAGGAAGTCACAAATTTCTATTCGTTCCGTGCGTGACAGCAGCGCCAATTCGTTTAGGTACTAATGGACTATTTCTGCGTATACTAACAAATACAATTTTTAATAGAATACGTAATTAAAAAGTTATGTTAGTTTTAATAAAAGTATATGGATTTGTAAAACAAGTAAAACATTAATTTTTTATTATTATATATTTTTATCGCTTAAATAATTTTTTTTTAAGTATAATCAATAAAAATCTTTAATAAAATATAGGCAGGCAACAGTAATTACTGGAAAGTGTATGAGAAGTTGCCTAATAAGTCTAGTAAATTATCTTTGTAGAATTAACCTATTCTGTCAAAATAAAAAAATACCATTAAATAATAGCGTGAAGTTAAAATGTGTAAAAGAAGCATCATTATTTATATTTTCATTTTTGTTCGAAAGAAAACATAGAATGAATGATTAAAACTGGTTTCCCATTAGTAAGTCACAAAATTGCATTTAAGCTACATACAATAATCAAAGGCAGAAATCTTGAAATCTAATCCTTGCTTTTTGAACATTTAAGAATAAAGGAATGTTGAAGAACATCGTAAAATGATAATTTATTGTTTATTTAAAACCTTTCAAGTTTCTGATGTCTACTATTTCCAGTATTACTGTTATTATTACAAAAATAAAGGTAATTTTTTTCTTATTGTACACCTATCCATTTATTTCTTTGATTTAATTTCCACTTTGCTACTGAACATTTTTATAATTTTTCACTGTTTTTTTTGCTAGTATTTGTACAATTTTCAACACAACAACTCCGGTTGCTTATTGTATTGTTTTTACCTACTTTTAAAAAAAAACTAAAATGTATACGTGTATTTGATATGCCAAAATTACAAAATATCGCCCTAAAGTGCACGAATTATCCGCAGCTAGCGCTAGTATCGCTTTTGCTTCCCCTACCATTACTTCGCTCTGAGCGAATAGGTATACACCATTCATATATTTTCGATGTTGCCGGATGGAGTTTATTTGAAATAATAACGTATCCGTATCTATACAAGCTTACAGTTGTTGTGTACAGTGTCTTACAAAAATCACATTGTTTAGCATTGATAATCTCAAACTTTTAGTATTTACCATTAGGCGATATTTTTGTGTACGACTGTCGCGAGTTAACTACCTTAAAGACTTATTTTGAAAGCAATCCTAATAGCTCCAAAGTAAAATACTTAAGTTTTAACCCGTTTTCTACTAAAAATGGGCGTGATTGAAATACATTTGCATATTAAAAGTAATAGAAGTATTCTACACAACGACGAACAACTACTAGACTAATTTTGTTTACAAAAATCGAATTGCAAACATTCGCGGTGTTGTCACGTAGTTGTCAAATTATTATGAGATAATATGGGAGATATTGTTACAAGAAATTGTTTATGGTTATAATTCGGAATTGACTTTGTAACGTTTTAGTTTAGTTTTACTGCCAGGTTAAAAGGTTATATATTCCATCAATTTATTTTGTTATTAGCTATTTTATAACCAATAGCAGTTAAAATAGACATGGCAATGACTAAAAGTGAATTGAAATTAAGCCCAACGCAGCTTTAAAAATAAGACAAAGAATATATTTGACATATTATTATTACGAGATTTATTATTGACATAAGTTATAATGTATAACCAAAATTACATTAAGGAAGTATATTTGCCTTCTTGATGCCAGTTATTATCAGCTTAATGTATTTTTTCGTTGCAACTATCATAGTTGAAGGTAATTTACAGGAAAGTACTCAATTTATTTTGACAGCAGTGTAAAGCAAGCGAGTTGTACTAATTCGTTCATAAAACGCATGCTGGCACCGCAGATAAACAAACTTGCACAAAGCATTCCCACTCAAATTAACAGCCGTCTCGCTCTTTCTAATGCGGCAGCCGATGCGACAGCTCTGTTTGCCTGTAGTTTTTCATCGTTGAGTCTAACCTTGATTACTAACCAACCTCAAATCAAAAGCCATTATTAAAAGCGGTTGATGACAAAATATGTTAGTCAAAAATACTTCCCTAGGATTGTGAAACCTGCAAAAAATTACACAAAAATATGAAAATTCCTTAGAGATCAAAAACAGTAAGTTTTAAACTATAGCAATTGTTCAAAATGTACACTGCAGTTTTATACGAGGTAGACACTTGGTATGACCCGAAAAATAAAGTATAATTTAATTTTCTTCACAATAAAAATTGGCTTTAATATTGATATTTCAACTGTAAATATTGAAAAAATGAACCTCTTACATTTTAGCTGCAATATTATAAGCACCGGCATCCGGGGTGAATTATAACACAATTTGTTGGTTTTTTTACTCCGTAAAAGTTTAAATAATTTATATAAAAATGCACTTCTTTTGCTGTAATTCTAATATGTTTTCAAAATTACATCGAAGGTAGATCCCAATGATGCACCCCTGACCTGCTTACAGTAAAACTACACTGGCATTATATTTTTAACAGACTTAAAAAAAGGAGGTTCTCAATTCGTTGTAATATTTTTTTTATGTATGTTAAGCGATAATTCTTGAACACGGTTTCCGATTTCAACGATTCTTTTTTTGTTAGAAAGGGGGTACTTCAAGGGTGGTCTCATATCATTTTGGTCAAAATCTAATAATTGGGTCCATTAGAAAATCTTTAAACTCTTCATTTTTTATGTATGTTTAGCGGTAATTCTTTAACTCCTTGTCCGATTTCTATGATTCTTTTTTTGTTAGTAAATGGGTACCTCAGGGGTAGTCCCCTGTAAATTTTATCAAGATATGGTGATGACATCTGCACGATTTTGAACTCGGTTTTTTTTCTTTGGTGTACGGCTTCAACATCTAAGGTCATTAGCCTAACGTTCTATGTAGGTTATGGATTGTACTAGTAGTCTAATACTATCTATAGTGCAGGAGTATTAGTACTCTAATATTCCTACACCCCTACAGACATGCGTTATTACTGTTTTCTTGCGCCACTTTAGGAACAGCACTGTTAATTGGCCGAGTGGGGAATCAGAATTAATTTTAAATTATTAAATTAAATTAAAAAAATCCCGGCCAACAGGGGTTACCTCAGGGGTGATCCCATATAAATTTGGTTAAGATGTTGTGATGGCATCTGCACGTTTTTGAAGTCGGTTTTTTTAAATTTTTAATTTACACTTGTTATAAAATTAGTTTTATAACTTGTTTATTTTTCGATATAGTCTCCCTCTACACTAATGCACTAACATCTAAACAGTCTTCCGGAAAAAAAAATGTTCGACCTCTGCAAACACCTCTCTACAAATTGCATCCGTTCATTATTACTGGAAACATTTTTGCTTGCGTAAGTTTTCTTTTAATTTGCATTTGGGGCAAGATCTTGCAAATATGGTGGATCCTCCACTAATTCGAAGCCTGCTTGGTGTATAGCAGCCATGACAATACAATATGTACGGCTGGGAGCTGGGAGCATTATCCTGATGAAACACCACACAGTTTAGAAACTAATTATGCGTAATAGACACATTCAATGTCCCTTTTGTAAATATTACTTTAGCATCCGAGAACACAGACCACCAAACCTGTCAAGCAGACTTTGAATTTGCGTGGAGGAGGAGAACCGCGATATTTGCACTGTTTATAATATAATAATAATAATACTCTCCCTAATTCACCCCCTTACGAGTTAATTTTAACCCCAAAAGCTGAGCTTGTGCGAGGAAAGGGACGGCTATTATTATTATTTGCCGTGGCGCTCCGGGGCGACTTTACTTTGCGCTTTGGTCTTGGGATCTTAGTGGTGCAACCATGATTCGTCCATGGTAATATACATTTCCAAAAGTCACTCTCAATTCAACACCCGATTTTTTTGATCAATGGTTAAAATTCGGCGCATCCATTTTGGCCATTTTGCACTCATCTTTTCGATATCTAATTCTTCATTCAGTACGTGGTGCATCACATGATGTCAGTATCTTCCACAATGTCCCCAATGCTTATTCGTCGGTCTTGCATGACGATATCGTATACCTTTTTTAAGGTTTTGTCTGTTGTTACCGTTATGGGAGGACGACCTGCATGCTAGTTTACACAGGGTTCTTCCGCATTTAAAATCTCGACCCAGCGTTTGACTATGTCATAGGCCACAAAGTCTTCATGAATATAAGTTGGCGTCATGCCTTTTTTCTGGAGGTATTTTATTACAGCTCTTTGTTCTACATGATTCATTTTTATAAAAAATCGCGACACACAGTTCAAGAATTAGCCACAGCATAACAACACTTTGAGATACAAAGTTGAGATTTTGTAGATATGATCTACAAAAGTCAGTTAACTAACTGTCAAAAACATTAATCAAGCCACCACTTAGAAATAGGTCAGGGGTGGAACATAGAGATCCACCCTCGTAATATACCTGTATTATAATCCTACCTCTATGTATTGTTAACTGTTCGAATTCACCCTGCAATGGGTGGCGTGAATGTGAATATGCATTAGATAATGCATTTATTTTATATTTTAGGTACGAATTAGTCATTCCAACGACCCGTCAAAATGCTGAGAAGTGGGAACTGACAATTTAGATATGGCAACCCTGTGGCCTGTTGTCTATGATACATATATAGTTATATAGATTGGTCAAAGCGGGTGGCAATTTTGTAAGTGCAAGTGCTCATTAATCAAAATCGGTTTAGTAAAAATGTGTTTATAAACCAATTTTCAGCCTTTGAATATAGTAAAAAAAATAATTAACTACATTTTTACTTCAAGACATAGGCTTATGTTTATTTTGAAAAACATGGATGATCAATCTATATAGCTATCTATTTCATTGACCCTGTCAAATCACCAGGCCTACAGGATTGCCATAATTTTGCCATATCAAAACCTGTCAAACCCCACTGGTAGCCATTTTGTTTGGAATGTCTAATAGGGGTTAATAAACATTTTTTAACCGACTTCAAAAAAAGAGGAGTTTCTCAATTCGTTGGAATATTTTTTTTATGTATGTTCAACGATAATTTTTTTTGATAATTGTGTTTGACCAGTTGTGGCTAATACCGGTCAACTACATTAAATCTGTAGGCTGACTGGTGAGCTAAGAGTGGCCTATCAATTTAAGAGAATGCACAATGGGCCTAACGAGGCCTAAGTTCCCTGGGGGTAATCCAAACTCCACACGTTAGAGACACAGAGTGGTGCCCTATGTTAACTTCGACTGATTTGACATATATTTTCACAATATAATTCTTTAATTATAAGTATTTCTTTCAAATTATTTTTGTGCAATCTAGAAAAGTCTAATATTCTGTTTTAATATGTACATGTATTTCAATAACATTTTTAACCTATATTACGATTTATTTTATTATTTTACTACTAGGTACAAAGCAAGTACAAGCAAGTAGCACCAAAGTTAAACATCAGGAGAATTTCTATAGTCGTGTACCTATTAAGTGTTTAGTTGTCATCTAGACAAGGAATTAAATAAAACAACTATTGATTTACATTTTTAGGATTTGAAGAAAAACCAGAACATATTCATTTAATATCAATAACTCACAAGAAAAGAGAAGCAAATGCCTGTCGTATTAATAATAATGGATGCAGTCATCTTTGCTTGCTGTCGCACAAGTCTGTTATTTGTGCATGTCCAGTTGGTTGGGAACTGTCAAAAAATAACCGCACTTGCACACAGAGAGTAGGCTGTGATAGAACAGAGTTCCTTTGCCCTCATTCAAATACTTGCATCCTAAAAAGTCAAAGGTAAGAACTATCGAATATTGGATCAATTAACACTGGCAAGCCCCCCCCCCACATATTGTTATTTATTTTTTTTACCTAGAAACTCTTCGAGTTCTAACAATATGAGTGTACTTACTAATTATGTACTAAAAATTTAAAGAACTGTATTTTCCTTATAAATTACTACAGTTTTGATCTCGACCAATTGTTGGTGTAGCAGCTGAGAAAAATTCATTAAAAACTATTATCTAGGCCTACATAAAAAGATCTGAAAAATTATTTCTTCGTTCTACTTATTATTGCACTACTATCTGTAAGTACTCTCTAAAGGTGCCATGCTCCCTCGTCAAGCCTGAAAGCACACAATTACTAATCAAATTGTCCAGTTTAATAATTGGACCTTTCGTATTTACTTTTTTCTCTTTACAAACCTATAATTTTTTAAGATACTTAGTTTATAGTCTTTAAATCCTCTTTAAATTTTTGTATCAAAGTTCTTACATCCAGCTTGTTACCAGTTTTGTTTGTATTATAATCATGGGCGAAGTTATGTCATCAGATCTGGGGGGGCTAAAGCCCTAGCTCTAGTTATATAATATATATTAGTTCTAGAGGTATACTAAAGTTAAGTAAAAAAATTCTGGCGAATCTATGAAAATGGATAAAATATCATATATAATATATATTTATGTCAAGTAAAAAACCTGAAAAATTTTCATCACAATAATTCATTAAAAAAATTTCCTCATTTTCGCAGTCATGAAATAATAGTTTGTGCAACAAGAGTAGATATGGACAATTCACTCGAGTTGTACAGTATATTTTTTCTATGAACCACTAAGAAAAATATAAAAATTTTAAAAATTTTAGGTTTAGACAAAATAACTAATTTTATTAATTAATTAATTAATTAATTTATAAAATATAATAAACCTAAAATAAGCCCCTTGTCCAGATTCGAACCCAGGCTATTCGCGTGGAATCTAGATGCTCTGTCCTCAGCTCCACTTCACTCCAGGTTTTTAGTTTTAATACTCGTAATTAAATCAGTTTCATACAATTTGATTAAAATTCATTTTTTTTAAATGTGGCCCAAATAAAAATAAAAATGCCATTTTTTATCGATTCTAAACAAAAATAACTAATTTTAACGTATGTAATCTTAATGACTAAAAAATATACTGACAGAATTTAAAATTTTAAAAATAATAGTAGTTGGGTGTCCAAAATATGTACTGTGATTGGTGGATTTCATTTTTTTGCAGTTTTCTCACTATGTTATGTTGGGATTGGGGTGTTAATAAACTGCGACCTAAAAGATCTATTGTGCCCCCTTCTGTCGCTTATGCAGCACAGAAATGTCTCAATGCCTATAAAGATCCTTCCAATTATATTTTCTCAAGGAAGTGTAGGATTTGGGGTGGCTTCAAGTTAGGTAAATTTCCCTCTTCTATTTTATATGCTCCTAGGTATAGTGTCCTTTGATTCTGGAGTGCTGCACATTCAGTTAGAATGTGAACGAAGGTTTCGTCCTCCTCACAGAATCTGCAGTCACTATCTTCTACTAATCTCAGTTTACTAAGGTGTCCTTTTAGTTGGCATTGCCTGTCACAAGTTTTCTCACTACTAGAAAAATGTATATTATGAAAACAGCTTAAAATCTGGCTAATGTGGAACACCCCGAAAGCCTTGCCAGACTCATCTAATAATCGCCAAGCGCGCTAAATTCGGCACGTTCGATTGCTATTCCTCTCCTCGTTTAACTACCTGGCTTGTCAGGTCCGACCGAAATATGGTTTTATAACCGAAACAGAAACCAAATTTCGGCTCCTTTCTTAGTTTCGACCGAAACCGAAACAAGAACTTTGTTTTAAGGCAATCTCTTATTGGAATTTGCAGTATCTTATTGTAATCCTTGTTTTAGACTAATTAACTCATATTATAAATTTAAGCTACATTTACTTATTACCTATTTATTTTTGGTGATCAAAAGAAGCCATTAATAAATTTATGGGCATTGTTTTTTTTTATTACTTTTAAAATTAAAAAAAAAGTAAGTGAATTACAAAGTATCAATCATTTCTGCATCTGTAGTAGATATTTTGTAACAAAAAATAGTATTATGAAGAAAATTATATATAATGTATAATTTTTATTTCAAAAAAAAAACAAACAAATTCAGCGGATTAAATATGTTTGTTACTTATAATTAAATTAATATTCATAAGTACACAGTCTAACGTTGTAGTGTAAAAAAAATATTTTTCCACGTTTTCACCTAAAAAATTGCTCCTTTGATCCGAATAAATTAGGCTAGGAGCACTGAAGTCTGTTCACTTGAAACAAAGCAGAGATGTTTGTGTGTACGTGCACTGTGTAAGAATGGCACCCGGCACAGTCGCCATTGTGCAGGACAAAACCAACTTTCGAAAGTAGTTTTGCTGTCGGCCGCATTTTCGGCCAGTTTTCCGCCGAAACCGAAACTGTCGTCGAAACTCTTATTTTAAGCCGAAGTTGGCCGAAACCGTCACCGAACCTTCGGTCGGACACTACTTGTGAGTCTGGCAGGCCTTCGTGATTGTAATTGTCAGCCAGACGTGTATTTTCACTTAGAATACCACAAGTGACTAATTTATTTTCGGAAATTTTTTCGAACTTACGAATATTTTGAAATTTAGTCGAAGACGATGGATAAGTTTCTTAAAATATGCGTGAGTGAGCAAAAATTTACTGATAATAATTTAAGCACATGTGGTATTGGGTAAGAAAATTTTACACCAAAATATCCAAATTTCAAAACTTGACAGACATACATTAAAACGACTAAAATCAAATTTTCAAAGCTGGCCATACCACAGCATATAAAACATATTTTTAAATGCTGTGGCCATACCATGACTATTTGTCATATTTGAAGTCGTTTAGTTGACGGGAAAAACCTCATTAATATTTTACTTAAAATAAATGTAGTGTATTTCTACCTAGTTATAATTGGTATTAAATAAAATATTAACCACTAAAACGGCAAATTTTTAATCACACTATCGCGTTGCGTCGTAATATTTTATGCATGGAAGGGCTTCTCAACTGTCAAAAAATTTTTCAGTATAATTTCGTTTAGGGTACCCACCAATAGGAAAATTACCGGAAATTTTTCTAGTTTTCATGGAAACGTTTTAAAATAACAGCATTTGATCGGCTATAAAATAGAGGTATAAAATTACAATATAATCTATTACGTGGCAAATTTTCAAACCCGGGAAAATAAAAGCAAAAATATTATATTTTTTCGAATTTGAAGATGTTACCAGACTCATTTGCCAATTTCGTAAATCAGCCAGACATTATTATTAACAGTTCATGATTGTATCAATTTATATGCAAAATTTTCTGCCACACTCACTTTCCACTATCCGAGATAATCCAAACTGCTATTTTTATAAACTTTTTGTTCTAGTTTAGTATATGTATAATATTTATGATTGGGAAAATAAGAGTGTCAGACTCAAAAATTTTGTTTTTTGTTACTCATATACACCTACTGGAAAAATGAGTAGGTACGAAAAAAATTTACTGCCTCCTGAGCTAAATGTAAAATTGCAGAATCAATCAAATGGCACGATTCTTTTTATTTATTAATTTCTGTTCTAAAATCTGAAATGTATGGGTGGATGTGCGATAAATGATCGAATTATTTTTGGGGGGCTAATTTGGTTTTTGGGGGGCTAATTTGGTTTTTGGGGGGGCTTAGTCCCCCCCAAGCCCTCTCCTAACTTCGCCCATGATTATAATCCAATTTTTCTTACCAAAAAGGTCATCATGATATACTATCAATTTACCTTTATTTCTTTTATTTAAATACAACAGCTCCTTTAGATATGAAAGTAAAATATTTATCAATTCTGCAGATGTTGCTTCAGGAATTGCCACCAGCTACTGGCCGTTGGGAATTTATTAAATTGTCTACATTTCTTTCTAAATTAAAAAAATATTTAATTTCAGATGTAATGGACATAAAGACTGCAGTTTTGGTGAAGATGAAAATGACTGTGAAAAATCTTCAAAATGTTCCAATGAAGAATTCCAGTGCACAGATGGAGAATGCATTAATACTGATTTAGTTTGTAATCATAACTATGATTGTAGAGATAAGTCCGATGAACACGATTGCGAAAATATTAAGAAAAAATTAGGTTGCCCTCCAGAACATTTCACCTGCAAAAATGGTGATTGCATTCAACAAACTTTCTTCTGCGATGGCGTAACCGACTGTGATGATGGTTCAGATGAGTTGAATTGTGTTAATAATATTTGTCGAGATGATCAATTCAGGTAATTAATAATTATTAGCATACATTGAGGTATAATAAAGGTTAGAATAAATTTAGTAACTTTTCTATTTTGAGTGTTTCTATAGTTTATTTGAAAATGCATAATAGCACAGTTTTTATGGCAAAGGTCTGTATACAGGACTGTTCAAAGCAGAAAAAAGTAAATATTAATACTTTCGTATCTGAATTTTTACTAGATTTTAGTATGACTACCCCGAAAAATCTCGAATACAATACATCATAAAATGTAAATGAGAAAACCCTAAGGGATTAACAATAATTATAAACCTCAATGACAGGGAACACGAAATTACTACTTTAATATAAAAATAGCAAACTGTGAATATTAAGTACCCAAATTTATTTTTATAAAAAAGTACACTAGATATTAGGTGATTCCATGTAAATTAGTTTGTTTTTATTTCGGGTACTAGCGTCATATAAACTTATTATAATTAATATAAATATAGAGTTACATACCTAAAAAAATAAGTAATTTTCTTCCGATAAGTAGTCATCATCGTCATCAGTTTCCTCACTTCCCACAGATATAACTGGTTCTTTTGCTTCATCTATTAATATATCAAGTTTCTCTTTCTCTGCTATGACATGGCGTTTTGCCAATTGTCCTGTGAAATTTTTGATATGGAGTCACAAAATAGTTGACGAACATCTAGAAGTTTAAATGTTGTATTGTTTCTTGCGACATATCCCTTCATTTGAGCACAGATTAGTTCAATAGAGTTAAGTTCACAGTGATAGTGGTAACCGCAACACTTTAACTCCATGTTCTTTTGTTATTTCATCTACACTATACTTCTTAAATTTTGGTGAATGTTATAGCCATAGCTCTTTTTTGAGTAATCCCTCTTGCGTCACTATTTCTTTGGTTATTAGCCAATCGGAGAGTTCGTGCTTTTTACTTTCCTATCTGTATACAGGGGGTCATTTTTATATTTTATAAAATATATCTGTTATTTACGTTTGGAGAAGAAAACTCTTTAAATAAAAGTTACTGCTTATATTATTATCTATAATTTTTGTTTTATACAAAATTTTCCTAAAATGGTCCGTATTCGAGAAATTTAACAAAATGTAAAAATATCAAATTTTTATAAAAACTATTCAAATAAAAGTTGTTTATCATGTAATTCTCTATAATTTTTGTTTTATACATATCTTCTCTAAAATAGACCGTATTCGAGATATTTGTGAAAAAGTGTAAATTTTGAAGAAAACTCAAAAACGGACAAAGAAAAAACCTTAAATTTTAAACTTATGCTTTATTTCGACCTGGGGTGAACTGATTAGACTTTGGACATAGTCGGAACATCTGGGGGTTACTTCTAATATTATTCTCTATAATTTTTGTTTATACAAAATTTTCCTAAAATGGTCCGTATTCGAGAAATTTGACAAAATGTAAAAAAATCAAATTATGAAAATTGTTCAAATAAAAGTTGTGTCATGTAATTCTTAATAATTTATGTCCTATAGATAATTTCTCTAAAATAGACTGTATTCGAGATATTTGTGAAAAAGTGTAAATTTTGAAGAAAACTCAAAAACGTACCAAGAAAAACCTTTAATTTTAAATTTATACTTTATTTCAACCTGAGGTGAACTGATTAGATTTTGGGCCGAGTCGGAACATCTGGGGGTTACTTCTAATATTATTGTCTATAATTTTTGTTCAATACAAAATTTTCCTAAAATGGTCCGTTTTCGAGAAATTTACAAAATATAAAAAAATCTAATTTTTAAGAATATTGTTAAACTAAAAGGTATTTGCGATATCGATCTCTATAATTTTTGTTTCTTACATGATTTCTCTAAAATGGACCGTAATGGAAAAATTGGAGGAAAAGTATAAAATTTAAATTTTTCAGTATTTTCGTTGGCAATGAATGTATATAGAAAAATGTTTCGAGTTAGAAGTATGTGGAAAATGTATATATTAAGTTAACCTCAAAACGTTTACAGATGTACTACAATAGGTTGTACAAAATAACCGAAAAAGCCTGTAAAACTAGATGGTAAAGTCATATGTTGGATACATCAGATTTTTCCATTTACTGAAATATTCCTTAAAAACATTATCAGTCATTTCTTCATTTTAGTCTCTCGTCGAATTTAAAACAAATTCTAACATAATCATTTATCTCCTCCAATATGAGTGATAAAGCGCAACCTTTTCCATTTGAAATTTTTAAGCCAGTAGACAAACTTTCTATAAATGCCAGACGAGCATTTATAACCTGTTTATTTGCTAAACTTTTTTACAAAATGTCCTTCATTTTTCCATGTTTCATCAAAATAAAAAATATTTTTGTCTTCTCATCTTAATTTACTAATTTCCTTTAAATTTTGCCTCTTCCAACAAATAATAATCATCTTTCTCCATGAGTGCAGATTTTCTATTTTTCTTTTCCCAAACGAAATCTAATTCATGTAAATTTTTCCACAATTTGTCTCTTTTAACGTTTGGCAACGTTTCGTCTCCATTAATGTCTACCAAAAGTTTATCCAAAGCAGGTATATTTTTTTTTTTAAATAAAATGAATGCACTTTTCTTCAGTTGTTTCATAATACCGTCCATTTGAATGGGTTTTCCCCAGTTGACGTTTTAGGTGCTACTGAAATAATTCCATCCTTTCGTTGCTTCAACAGTTTATAAATAGGTTGCTTTTCCAACTCCGGTCATATTTGAACACTTAGAAACTATAGTCCGAAAATTACTATTGAAATGTTCATGTACCAGAGCGTCATTTACATTTAACACTAAAGTTTTCATACACATGGTTAAATTGCGCTTTAATTTCACAGGAGTATAATATTAGACGTTCGTTCCATTTTTACTGCCTAAATTCACTTGATCAATATCGCTTTTTTATCGCCTTTTATTACAGAACTAACAATTCTGCGTGTTACAGTTACAGGACTATATAAACATAAATGTACATCTTAACTAAAATAATTTACAATCTGCATAACACTTTCTGCCGATTAGAAATTTTAATTCTTTCTAAGAAAGTTGAGGGCTACTTAAATTGATCTAGAATTGTAAATAATTTTCTACCCGTAGAGATTACATACTTACCTTATTTTTGTTGATTAAAATGACCAGAAAATTTAAGACAAGAATTGAAAAACATTGGTATTTTAAAACATTTTAGGAAGAAATCCAAAGATTTTATTTTGGAACAAATAATGCTAAACATTTTATTTTAGAAATTCTCCGTTACTGATTTATGGTGTTATATTGGGGTTTATCTTGTGAATCATATAAATTTTGCTATCATTCATTTTCAAATAAACTATAGATACTATATAAAAAAAACGGTAGATCCAAGTTTCTATTAGTTAATAAACATTTTGGTAATTTTTATTTTGTCCGCGGGACATGCACTACAATGGTTTTATTTTTTTTTTCTCGAAAACAAAGCGAGATATGTAAAAACATAAAAAAAAATTTAATTGAAACATTCAATAGCTTGCTTTTTCGTTTCAATAATGCCAATTAGGTTTCCCTCCAGAATGCTACTGCACTTAAATAATTTTAATTCGTTTATAGTCTATTTTTATGTATGAGAGAGTATTACAATAATAAAGCGTTCGTAATCCATAGGCGTACCACTTCTTTAAGTAGACAGTTAAAATATTTTTTGAAGTTATTCCTCGAGTATACACTTATATTTTCACCTAATTAACCTGCTTATAACTTTTAAACAGCTGAAGGTAAAAAAGTGCAATTTTTTCTAAAATGTTTTATTTTTCCACAAGGTATGTTAAGAACATTGTGTCAAACGGGTTATGTAGGTATAAGGGTTTAAACTTTGACTTTTAAAGAACGTTACGTTCATAAATAATAATTTTAATATAAAAACTACTTCTTACCTACAAATCCAAATCAGAATCGAAATCAGAAGATGAACTATCGCAACCAATATTTACAATGAGTGGCTCGATCATTTCATCAGTAATATTGTCCAACTTCCACATTTTCTCTTTTTCTTTAATCGTATGATTTACTGCCTTTTCCCAGTTTTCAGGCTTCACATTATTTACAGCCTCCAAAAACAACTGTTTAACATCACTCATTTTAAAAAAAATATTTTTTCTTGAAACTTCTCCCTTTATGTGTGCCCATATCAGTTCAATCGGGTTTACTTCGCAATGATATGGTGGTGATCTAACCACCGTCATCCCACGATTTTTTGCAATTTCATCAATTTCATATTTTTTGAATTTCTCTTTATGAAGGGAACACAAATGATACAGTTCTTTTCTCACAGAATCGGGATGGAACTTAATATTCATTGAATTTAGCCAATTCTGTAATCTTTTTTTAACCACTTGGTTGTGGGCATTTTTTCTATAAGTCTCGAGTGATAACTTGCATTATCCATTACTATTATACAGTTCTGAGGAAGAAGATCTATAATTTGTTCGAACCACTCTTTAAAGACATCAGCATTCATGTCCTCATGGTAGTCACCGGTACGAGTAGATTCAAAAGTCAATAAACCACCTTTAACACAACCGTTTGAACTATCGATGTGTACTATTATTAGTCTGCGCCCCTTTCCTGATGGTGGATTTAAACCAGTAGATAAATTATTTAAAAAAGCCTGTCTTCGACTTGTAACAGTTTCATCTTGCCAAAATTTATTTGGTTTATGTCCCTCGTTGATCCATGTTTCATCTAAATAAAATATATTTCTTCTTTGGTTTCTCATTTCTTTTATAGTCCTTAGGTAATTTCTTCTCCATACCACAATATCGCTTCTTTCTATTAAAATAGACTTTCTGGAATGCTTTTTCCATAGAAAACCTATTTCTTTTAAAAGTTTCCATAGTGTGCTTCGACTCATTTCAGGGTAATCCTTATCATCTCGAACCGTGGCAAGAACTTTGTCTACTGTCGGAAATTATTTTCTAAAGAAGAACGCATGCACTTTCCTTCGAAATCTTTCTTTTAAAAGATTTTCTAATTGAAATTTTGGTTTTCCTGGAGCTTTACGTGCTGTTTGAAACTCGCCACATTTCTCTTCTTTAACAACTCTGTAAATCGTAGATTTCCCAACACCAAGCCTACTACTAACCAATTCCACTGTGTCATCAACACTTTTACATAAATGTTTGTCTGTAAATGATTTAAAACAATTAAATATTAATGTTTTTTCATTAACTGTTAAAGGACCGATTTTTTGTCGTTTACGCGGCCCTTCCAAATTTTCCATGATCACACTAGAATTCACACTGCACCTTGCAAGTTGCAACTAAACGACATTTAGTAAACTGTCAAGAATACATAACTTGGACCTCCTTACTAAATGGAAAACCTATAATCGCATTTTCGGTGAAATTTGTTGGGAAGGTATTTATCTACTTATAATTCGATTACTGTAAGAAATTCTTGGAATTAAAATAAAACAAAATAGGCAAATAGGTACTTATTGAAAATAATCTTAAGATACGGCTATGTAATCTTTAATACACAGGGCTTTTGGCCTGTCCAAACCTTTTTCTATTGTTCTGTACAGCTTATGTTTATAAAGGACCAATAAAAGACCCAAAACTTGTAATAGCTCAGGTACATTTATTACAATTTTAGGAAATATTTAGATTATTTTGAAAAAATATTTAAAATGACCGTACTAAGTTTTGCATTAGAAATGCTGTTTTATTACTCTCTCATACATAAAAATAGACTATAGTATATATCACCCTGTATATTAAAAACAAAACAATTTAGAACAAGTGAATAGGACATTTTAGTCCTAAAATTGGCAAAGGATTACCGCCTTCAGTATTTAATTAATTCATAACTTCTATAATACATATTTCAAAATAGTCAAAATATTTATCAATAAAATGATATCTTTTAGATGTGATTCCGGTGCTTGTATTTCGAAAAAATGGGAATGTGATCATGAGTATGATTGTCCTGATGGTTCTGATGAACACTGCAGTAAGTATTACATTTACATTTTGTCAGTATGTTTATCCAATAAATTAAAGTTGACTCCAAGCCGAATTTTCAGAGGGAGAGGGAGCTCTGCCATTGACAATTCTTTTTTTTAATATTGTAAGAATTTTCATCTCGGGAGGAGGGGCGAGGGGTTAGGCATTGCCTTATGACTCTCCCTGGAGTCAATTTTGCCTTTACATAATATAGAATGCACAAAAAAATAGTCCATGCCTGACAAAGACAGATACGAGTCATGTTTCATGGTAATTATATGGACGCCTCTGGATTAAATCCAATTTTTCAAAAAAAAAAAAAAATTGCTCACTCCAACGTACCAGATTTTTTCCCCAGCATACCTTAGAAAAAACTTTGTGGATAACTCCACATAATGAACACGATTTACTAGAGTTAACAATAAATTTAATGTATAGATCGATTTATTTATTTAGTCATATTTCTTTAAATTTCTTTATAATATTGCTCATTAAATTGCTCATAATTTTCCTCATAATATTCCTCATAACATTGCTCACAATATTTCTCATCATTTTGATAATATTATTGTTCATAATGTTGTTAATAATATTGCTCATACTATTTCATTAACCTAAACTTTCCGAGAAAACTGTGACTTAAAAGATCTATTGCAGCTCCTTCTGCCGCTAAAGCGGCACGGTAATACTCGCATTTAGCAATCCTTTCAATTCTATCTTCTTACATAGATGAACTTCTATCCAGATTGATTGACCATATGCCGACGACATAGTCATATTTGCTAGAGCCAAGTTTGGAAATATCCAGTGTTATATAATTTAAAGAGAACTAAAACAGACCAGAAGATGGTGCCGCAAGGTGCCCGCCAAAACAACACTAGTAGCCTTTTCAAGGAAAAGTGAACATAATCTCAAAACCATCAAATTAGACGGTCTAGTTTTAGAATAGAAAAAAGAAGTCCAATAACTAGGACTTAGAAGTATATATTATCATGGACAAAGTAAATCAAAATGAAATTATAATACTAGGCGACATAAACGCTAAAGCAACAGAATGGGGATCTCCAGTAACTGATGAGAAGGGAGAACACTGGATAGAGTGGATATCTATAAAAAATATAGTAGTGCATAATACAGGAGATAGGCCTACATTTATAAGGAGAGATACCAAATCATATATTGATGTTACTCTATCCACAAATAGAATTGCTAGAAAAATAGACAAATGGCAAGTGCTTGATACAGAAATCCTTACCGAACATCAGTATATTTTCTTTGAAATTAAAGGAAACAAAATTGATAAAAGAATTAACAGAAAAAGAAACACAACTGACTGGTTAACTTTTAAAAGTAACATGGAAGCAACGATTAATGAAGCAACGATTAGTGAAACAACTGTAGCAACATGTGAGAATTTCAGTAAAATAATCAGGAACGTATATAAACGCAGTATCAATCATACCAACGAAAACCAAAATGTACCATATTGGTGGAACGACAATATTGCTGAGAAGAGGAAAGAATGTAACCAAGCCAGGAGAAAAGCAACAAGGGCGGCTACAAGAAATAGAGTGCACGTAAATATAGAAGAATTAAGAAGAGACTATAAGACTAAAAGTTGCCCTTCAGGTGATAACCGGCATCATCCCCATTGACTTAATGGTCAAAGAAAGAACTCTTCTGTATGATCAACAACAAAATAATATAAACGTTAATAGAGGACAAGAGGGAAAACAGACAATACATATTTGGCAAGAAAGATGGGAAACAGATGCAATAAAAGCTCAGTTGACGAAGAAACTGATTTTAAACGTTGAACATTGGATAAACTGCAAGCACCGTGTGACTGATTATTATTTAACCCAGATGCTGACGGCCCACGGATCTTTTCGATCCTTTGCAAAGAGAATAGAAAAAGACGACTCAGATAGTTGTATATATTGCTCGAGTGAAGACACAGCAGAACACACCATTTTTGTATGTGAGAGATGGAGTGAAATAAGAAGAAGAGCATATGATATTATCGTGTGCGAACTAACACCTGAAACAATAATTAATAAAATGGAATATAATTCATAAAATGATAAGGGAACTTATGAGCCAAAAAGAAAGAGAAGAAATAGCAAGACAAGGAGGAATTAGAGCAAACCTATAAAGAAACGGAGCAAAGAAATGAACAGGGAACCACCTAAACCCTTCCCAAAGGGAACGGGTGGATGTACCTACTAGAAAGCAACACCATAAACATATCTACGCCTATTAATGAAATGCATACAGCGGTTCCAAGGGGGCTAATATCTCAAAAGTGTAAGTACTAGTCTGTGCTTGCATTACCAGTAACAAGCTGTCCTACGGGCCACAATGTAAGTGATCTTAAACCTTACCGCTTTACATTTAATGGTAGATAAAGTGGCAAAAAGACGAGATATAGACTGAGCAGCAACGGAATAATGAAATCAGACGGAAGTCTATTAGTTACAGGATCGAAGATGCTTGGAATATGCCCCAGGACGAAATGATAAAAATGTACACTTTTGTGAAAAACTTTAAAACCACACGATAGTTCCAAAATCACACATGGAACTGGAATAGGAGTGTACCTATGGACCTAGAGCCAGGTACTTTGAAAGTTTGACCAAATGCCCAAGCATCTTTCAGGTGAAAATTTACGTCATTGGGAAGTGTCACCAGTTCGACTTCGAGAGAAACTATCACAGACAAAAGATTATCATCATATCCGCTAGTCAATCGCCCATAAAAGCGCTGAACTCTTACGTAATCAATTCAAAATGGTCTGGAGACGCCTAGAAAAACTGAATGAACTAGACAAGGGTGACGGGTAACGAGTTTCAGATAGTCTCGTAAGAGACACAAACATTCTTTGTGGGACCTGAGTCGTTTTGCGGTATCAACAGTAACACAATTTTAGGAGAAATTAAAAAAAATAGCCAGTAGAAGAACCGATAATTGGAACAATCGCTTGGACCTAAGTTAGGTTTAGATACTTCTGAATAACTATAACCAGAAAAGATCGAAAGCCTGTATCTGTCTGTGCAAGAACAGGATACTCATTATAACAGGAATCCTTACCGATCATTGCCGATTTAAAGAACAACTTAGTAAACGAAGATTAGTAGAAGATAGTGAGTGCAACTTCTATGAAGAGGAGGATGAAACCTCCATCCTCACTCTAAATCAATGTGTAGTGTTACAGAATGCAAGGGCACAATACTTAGGAGCATACCAAATCCTACATTTTCTTGAGAAGATAGGATTGGAAGGGGTGTTGTAGGCATCGAGACTATTTTCTGCTGCATTAGCGACAGAAGGGGACACAATAGATCTTTTAGGTCCCAGTCTATTAATACCCTATACATAACATAACGTCCTATCTTACTAAGGAAGTTTAGGATTATTTAAAATGACTGCTAGCTGGGCAGATTGCCCTCTTTCATCTAGTATGCTACCTAGTTTAATGCCCCTGGGTTCTGTTGTGCTTAATAGCTATGGTGAAAATGGCTTTAAAATATGTCTGATTTTCGAAATTAGTCAATAGCAGGATACTGAAGTACTTATGTTACTTATAGATAATCGAAAACAAAGTTTTTATATATATTTTTTATGTTTCAGCATTGGATTCTTGTCCACCCAACTACAATAGGTGTGATAACAAATTGTGCATCGATAAGAAATTGTTCTGCGATGGTATGGATGATTGTGGTGATAATTCCGATGAAAAAATTGATGTTTGTTATCACGCGTCCGAACATAACTGCTCTTTTAATGAAATGGCATGTCAGTCAAACAAGTCAATTTGCATTCCTCTAGGTAAATATGATAAACAATCAACAATGGCATGAAAAGCTAATTAGGCAATTCAATGTTTTGTCAGTAGGTATGGTCAAAAATGGCCGGCGATTGGCAAAAATAACAAATTGACATAGTTTCTTAACCTTACTTTTTCATAAGCGTTTAACTGTTATTGTAAATTTGTGAGTTACAGAACTTAATTTTTAGAGTTCAAAAATGTGTGCAAAATTCACATATTTTTAATAAAAATGATTTTTTGTAATTTTTCAACTAAACTGAACTAAAAACATGAAAATAATAATACACATGCTTAAGTAATAACTTCACTGCACCTATGATATAAACTTTGTCGTAACGCTTCTGTACCTTTTGTCCACATGATTTGGATTGTCTAATTGCAATAACCAAATTTTTTTCATCGTATTTTTGTAAGATGACTGTCATAATCATAATATAATAATATTACTATCCCTGATTCACCCCCTTACCCCCTTCAAAAACATGTCGGAAACTACCAATATAATCACCGTAGCGAAAGTGTTGCCAACCTCTGAAAAGTCACTCTTCCGTCAAACCGCCCTCGCATAAGGCAGCACTCTTCAGAGACGTTTTAAGAAAAAAACATCCCATTTAAAAACTACTAGATATTTATAGAAACAAAAACATCAAATTTTCGTAGATTTAATACAGAATTCCTTTTCGAAGGTTTACAAGAAACTCAAAGATTCTCTACCCTAAGTTTTGTTATTATTGGCATTTCTGGAAAATTTCACAAAAATCGGACTAAAAGGAATCGTAAATTTTGAAGGTGTTCGATTATTTGATCTCATTAATTTTTGAATTTTTAACATTAACACGGAAACGAGTTATATTTTATCTAAGCATACTTCGTTTAATCGGCTTATTTTCAATCAAAGAATCATCATTTGTTTTGTTGTTGATAAAAGAACATGCCAGAAGACAATTCTAATAATACTAAATACATTAACGCACATTTAAATACCAGTTTATAATTTTTTCTTTTTTACATTCACCAAAATTATTCCATATTATTTTATAATCAATATTATTTTTTTCATAGATGCAAAATGTGATGGAAAATCTGACTGTCCCAGACATGAAGATGAAATGCAATGCTCAAAATGTGGTCCAGAAGAATTCGAATGTCACAGCAAACATTATAAGGAGTGTATTTTAAAATCATGGTTATGTGATGGAATGAACGACTGTGGAGATGACAGCGATGAAGATATTGAAATGTGTTCCAACAAAAATAAAACTATGTTCGAGGCTCCGATTTCACTTCCTTGTACAAATGCATTCAGGTAGATGAATATTTATATATATGTATATATTTTTTTTCAAAATTACCGTTAAGAAATTAATTAATAATAATTTTTCAATTTTTAACTTCCAATATTTCGAAAACCAGAGATTTTTCAGATTTCCTGTGTCTTATTTTTAATAGGAACCCCTCGGGGAAACCATATAACAAAAAATATTCGCAAAATTAATTTTTTCTAGCGTTCTAAAATGTTGAAATTGAAATACGTATCTACACGGTTAACCGATCTGTTCATAGATTTATATTTTATATATTTGTGAAATGATTTTAACACAATATTGCGGGAGCGTAGAAGGGCCACAAAAATAAATATATTTTTATTTTCTTCGACTTAGAATCCAAAAAAATAACAATTTTTTATTTTTACTGAGAACAAGCATGTAATAGATTAGATTTAGAATTTAGAATAACCCATTTTCCGACCTCAGATAAATATACAGGGTGAGGCACCGAAAACGAAACAGATCGCATATCTTGAAGACACATTTTTTTTGGAGAAAATGCAAACAGAGATCGATTTTTATTTCAAAGGGGACATTTTTCGATCATATCCTCAACTATCCCTCCCCACCCCTCTGTCACTATTAGCAATGAAATTGAAATAGGGAAAGTACTAAGTGTGACACATCATTGAAAAGGTAATTTTATAAGGAGTTTGACTGTGTGACGGTTTATTACGTAACTTTTGATTTTGGTGCCATCTTGCGGGAAAAGTTTCCGTATTTTAAATAATGATACTTCATTTGAAAGTAAAACTCATTTAATAGACAATTCATAATAAAAATAAAAAAATTTATAGAAAAGTGAACATAAAAATTAAATTGAAAAATTTAGGACAACTCCCGTAATTAAAAACTAAATTACTTCAAAGTAAATGCTCAAAGTGTTGTCCATTAACTTCCATACAAGAATATAAATTATTCTCAAATCTTTGTCTGACGTTTTGGAGCATTTCTGGAGTTATTTGACGACACTCGGTAATAATACGTTCACGTTCTAAGGAACCTGGCTGAGTGGCGTATATTTTACTTTTCAGATATCCCCATAAAAAGTAATCTAAGGGGGACAGATCAAGAGATCGTGGGGGCCATTCAATAAATCCTCTTCGTCCAATCCAATGTCTAGGAAAGTTTTCATTTAAGTACTGACGAACCGCTGCAGCAAAATGTGGAGGAGCCCCGTCCTGTTGAAAAATTAGGTGATCTTCAAGGTATCGGTTATCGTTTTCTATTGTCTGTTAACAGAGGATCAACGGTGTTTTCGAGTAATTCCAAATACATATCCCCAGTTAAAGTACCTGGTAAAAATAATGGACCAACAATACGATCGCCAAATATTCCAGCCCAAACGTTTAACTTTTCTGGGTGTTGAGTATGCGTTTCATGAAATACTCTTGGATTGAAATCTGACCAGTATCGACAATTATGTCGATTGACAGTCCCGTTAACATAAAAACTGCATTCATCTGAAAAATAAATGTTATAATAAATGTGGATCTTGTATAGCATGCTCGCTCATGATTTCACAAAATTGCAAGCGTCGATAAAAATCGTCTTCGTTAAGTTCCTGAACTAAATGAGTTTTATAGGGATGGAATTTGTTGGCTTTCAAAATTCTCCTGACGGTACGGTCACTTACTCCAGATAATTCTGCAAGCTTTCTTGTACTAAGAGTTGGATCTGCAACAACTTGTCCTAAAACGGCTAACTCTACGGCTTCGTTTCTTACTGGATTTTGAATCTGCCGTTTTTTATTTTGAACAGATCCTGTTTGTCGAAATTTTGAAATAAGTTCCAAAACGTACTTACGTTTAACCTGTTTGTTTGGGTGTCTCTTATTGAAAATTGTACAAGCAGTGTTAGCACATTCGTTATTTTTTAAATAACATTCAACAATTTCTACTCCCTCCTGAATAGAATAAACCATTTTTATGTTTCACTCGCTAATAGACTTGAAGTATCAATGACGCTAAACTAAAAAACAGACCTGGTAGTTATGGAAATAAAAACCTTTATTTTTGTTTTACGAAAACATAGGCGTAGTAAGTTCAATTTTATTCCAAAGGTAATTATGCATTAAATTTTTAAATTTGGCTTTCACATGACAATACGCTTATTTGAACTGTCACATGTCACACAGTCAAATTCCTTATAAAATTACCTTTTCAATGATGTGTCACACTTAGTACTTTCTCTATTTCAATTTCATTGGTAATAGTGACAGAGGGGTGGGGAGGGACGTAGGATAGTTGAGGATATTATCGAAAGATGTCCCCTTTAAAATAAAAATCGACCTCTTTTTGCATTTTCCCCAAAATAAATGTGTCTTTAAGATATGCGATCTGTTTCGTTTTCGGTACCTCACCCTGTATATAGTACTACAATGATCTACTAAAAATCATTCTTTTAGCATTTAATTGGTTTAAGACTAATACTGTGTATCAAAGGACTAGTTTGCAAGTTTATATATTAGGTATTATATTAATTTTAAAAACTTTTTTAGCTGCAAAAACGGTGCTTGCATAAACATGTCCTTAGTCTGCGACGGTAAACATGACTGCTATGACGGATCTGACGAAGACGGGCAATGCGCTGGAGCCTGCGAAGGATTAAAAAATCCATGTAATCAAATATGCTTAAAAACGCCAACAGGACCAACATGTGAATGTAAATCTGGATACAAACTAATGGGTAACGGGAAAACGTGTGTAGATGAAAACGAATGTGAAGCCGACCCACCAATATGTAGCCAATTATGTCACAATCATGAAGGTGGATATTCATGTGATTGCTATCATAGGTTCATTTTAAGGTACAAGTTAGACACCATTCTTATTAAATTGATTACAAATACTAAAATTTTTGCGTTTTGACACATTTTGTCGTGCAATTCAATTAAAAAAAGGACGAAACAAACCTACCTTGGTTTTGAATTCATTTGTATTTATAGTATATTAATGTTTCTTAAATTCTCTCTTCCACTTTTATCAATAAAATTTATATGAAGTTCATTTCACCAATTTTGGATTTTCAATGCGTGAAGGTATGTTACTACAACAAGAAACATATTATTTGGTCTAATCTAACTACACAAAGAACGTTTTACTGAAACATAATATGTATTTTCTTTTTGCTTCCATCACCATCGAGTCCAAAGAGGGGGACAATGGGGCAATTACCCTTTCTCATCTTGCACTTAATAATCCTAATAGTTGACGCCCCTGACGGTTGCCTCCTAATCTTGAAAACGATCTGAATCTGCCCCTGGCTTCCACCACGGTCGCTTTAGTAACTGTTCGGTGAGGTAAGCTCAAGTTTTAAAAATACATTTTGTTAATTTGACGTTTCCTTTCAATCAGTAAATTTCAATTTAAAATCGAAAAGATATAGTCTTGATCATTAAGTTTCAACACCTGGAAGCATGATAATGCATGAAAACATGCTTACACAAGTAAAAAAAATAGATAATTTGTCTTCAATTAAACTAGAACAAATTCAAAGAACAGCATGTCTCAAAATAACAGGAGCCATAAAAACAACACCAACCAGAGCGATGGAAGTCATTCTTAGTCTTACTCCCCTTGATATTTATACGAGGATGTATCAGAAAATAACGAGACTGGTGCTATAGTATAACAACGAAACATTTATTTAAAAAAATTCAACAACTATCCTTCGAAGTACTCTCCATTCTGTTGAATACACTTATTCCATCGCTTTATCCACTTATCATAAACTTCTGAGAAACCATTTTTTGATAGTCTGTTTAGTATACCCATCACAGCGTTGTTGAGCTCTAAATCCGACTCAAATCTTCTACCTCTCAATTCTTTTTTGACTTCACGAAACAAATGGAAGTCACATGGAGCAAGGTCAGGAGAGTATGGGGGATGAACCATAATTTCAACCCCTAATTCTTCAATTGTTCGTTGACAAATCATTGATCTATGAGCCGGAGCATTGTCGTGATGCAGCGTCCAGCCAAAGTCCTGATAAAGCGGCCTTTTTTTCTTTAATTTTGCCTTTAAGGGTCCTCGAAGTACATTAGAATAGTACTGCCCTGTTACTGTATGTCCTCTAGGTACAATGTGATCGTAAATAACGCCAAATTTATCAAAAAAAAATCAGGTGCATCACGTTACCAGCGCTTTTAGCAGTTTTGGCCTTCTGCGGTCTTGGGCTGCCTTTATGCTTCCATTGCATACTTTGAGACTTCAATTCAGGATCGTAATGATAAAACCAACTTTCGTCACATGTAACCACATTATTTAAAAACTGTGGGTTACGTTGCAATTGCCTTTTCCACTGCTGACAAATTGTCACTCGATTCGCTTTTTGTTCATCGGTCATCACTTTTGGAATCCATCTTGCCGCGATCTTCCGGTACTCTAAATCTTCATGATAATTTTTTGAGTGGTACCGTAAGACAAATTAATATTGTCAGAAATTCGTTTTATGCCAATCCGGCGATCATTTTGTATCAAGTCGTTAATTTCTGCAATTTTTGTGTAATTTCTCGCAGTTTGTGGTCGACCGGGACGAGGTTCATCTTCAACTGATTCACAACCGTCTTTAAACTTTTTGTGCCACTCAAACACTCTACATCGTGATAAACTATTATCTAGATATGCACCTTTAATCATTTCAAAAGTTTCAGTTGGTGTTTTACCCAATCGAACACAAAATTTTATCGCGTATCTTTGCTCCACTTTCATTTTTCGATGGGTACGCAAAACACTGACAATTCCATAATTAATTTGTAACAAATGTCAAAAGTTAAATCAAAGCCTACTTGCGGGGTAGTACATTAAATATAAGGCTTTCATGTCTCATTTTTTGGGTTATAAAATGTTACCTCTGAAAGAAGTTATAGCACCAGTCTCGTTATATACTGATATATCCTCGTATCAAGGAGGTTGCTCTGACGACAATGATATGCCTCCACACGGTCTTGCCGATTCACTAGCCAAGAAAGCAGCCAACCAAATACTTTTTGGACCTGGCCCTTCTATTGGCCTGACAAAATCGGTAGTGACAGACCTAATTAAAGAACATTCCCTTGTGAAATTCAAGGAAAGATGGGATGAAACAAGAAACTGCAGAGTTGCCAGGGAGCTCTTAAGTTATCCCGACAACACTGCAGCAAACAAATACTTGACTATGACTAGACAGAATCTGCGTCTGGTCACAGGCATTCTGACTGGTCATTGCCAAGTACGGAAGCATCTCCATATCATGGGGCTGTCAGAATCCGCACTCTGCAGAGGGTGCGAACAAGAAGATGAGACCATCGAGCATATCCTTTACGATTGCTCGACGCTCTCATTTATTAGAAGATTTGTGTTCGGCGAGTATCGGCTAACACCGGTCGATATAAGAGAAGCACCTCTTGGCGACGTTATCAACTACATTAAATCTGTAGGCTGGCTCACGAGCTAGGAGGTGCCTATCATCTTAGGAGGATGCACAATGGGCCTAATGAGGCCTAAGTGCCGTGGGGGTAACCCACCCTCCACACGTTACGGATACAGAAACAGATTGTCTTTAATTTGATCTGGAGTACTTTTCCAAGGAAAAAGAAAAAGGCGGATCTTTGATACCTTTTTCATCTGCATAAATGAGTTGCAGATGTTTTAAAATAACACATCCAAGTTAAAGACTAATTACGTTAGCGATACTGTAAAAGGAGCAATTAGAACTGTAAACGCAGTTAAGACAGTTTGGAATGATGCTCTAAGAGCAGTTACATCTACACTTTGGGAACACTTGTGAAACATACAGAAAAATCAGTTCAAGACAACTAAACAAAGGTTATAATATATTAAGATGAAACCAGAATTATCATTGATTTAGCACAGAATTCGGACGATGACGACTATCAAGTTAGTACCACTGAGCATATTTTCCATTCGATTATCTCTTTCAATGTTTGACTGAGTAACTTTATTGTCCCATAGGTGTATAGTTGATACATTTCTCCTTTGTAAAATCAGAGTATCTTAGTACCGTAGTTTTTAAGGGATTGATTGTATAATTAATCAAGAAAAACTTGTCAAGGAATAGTTTAAAAATTTAGCCACTTAAGAAATGAAAGAACGATCATATCTATCACTTTAAGATGTTCAGGTTACTAGACTGGCCAGTTATTTTAAAGATCAAAAGTATAAAGAATATTGAAATATTTGGAAAACAGGAACGAAGTGACTAAGTGAATAGCTGTCATTAAAATAGCGTTAAGAACGAAAACCTGCAGCTCCCCAAACGTGTGATGTGTGATTGTTGATTGGGCAAAACTTATCCATCTATCCGGCCTTTTTTGTCTTTAAGATTTAATCCAAGAGTCCAACAAACTTTTACAATGTTCGAAATCTTCACTGAATTCCATCTGGACAACTCTTGCCTTCATTAGATTCTCCCTTATTTCATTCTACTAGTTATAACTTTGTGATATACAGAAGTTCTCTTCGAAATATATATTCAATATTTGTTTAAAAACACGTTGCATTACCCTTTTCTAGTCTTCAGTGGGGCCTGGAAGAACTCACACTGCGCCTGGTAGGTATATTCAGATCCTCTGAGGTAAAATGATCTTTATACCCAAACCTGGAAGAATAAATTACACTGTCTCAAAAACATACTGACCAATTAGTCTGATATCGTTTTCCATGAAGCCATTGGAATGTCTATGCGAAAGGTACCTAAGGGATGTGATGAATACAATAACACCACTACATCTAAATCAATATGCATCTAATGATCTACTGATTTAACCCTTCATTTAGTTGTTGGCCGGACAGAAAGATCCCTGGCCAATAAGGAGTCCATCTTGGGTGTATTCATAAACATAGAAGGTGTTTTTGACCAAACCACTTTTCCCAATATAATACACTCACTAACCAACAGATGGTTAGTGGGTCTGGTTGTGAGGGCATGTCCACAGGGAAGGGTGCTATTACAGCTTCTGTGGACCATGGTCCTCAGCAGCCTCATCAGTCGCCTTATCAGCCGCCTCAATAATGACAGTCATTCCACAATAGCGTATGTAGATGACCTGGTCATTCTGCAAACTGGAAATTTTAAAAACCTACTCTGCGAAATAATGCATTTAGCTCTTAAAATTACCTGATGTTTCTTCCCCAGAGTCGTGACATGGACTACCTTCATAAGACCTATGCTAACATATGATGCAGTTGTCTAGGTACGAACAACCCAAAAATTGACAGAGTAACCCACCCTCCACACGTTACAGATACAGATACCCTTTTATAGTAAAATATCATGTTTACTTTATCTTTTGTGTTTGCCTAAGCATTTCTTTTTGCTTCTTTATAACAGTCCAACTCTTTCCACTTGCTCTAATTCTATATTTTTTCTTTATTATCGTGTGTGTTATGACTATTTTTTTTTATTAATACTATTTAAAACATTTAATTTTTTGGAGAGGAGTCGTCTATTATTTTTAATTTTGTATGAAAATCGAGTGTTTCATGAGATGCCCATAAAATTGTATCAGAAGTTTTATATACATATATATATGTTCATCAATGGACCGTGATAGTGCCAAAACAAAGTTAAGTAACTATTATAACGGGACTGTCAATACTGTTATAGTTGTCAAAACGTTTTTTGTTTATTTGTCTACAAAAAAACTCATAAAAGTTAGATTTGACATAGCCCCGTATGTTCCCTGTTTTAATACCCATACGTTCACGCATATAAGTAGAATGCCACTGTATATGACAAAATTAAAACTTTGAAAGTATGTCGCACGTTATTGCAGGTACAATCTAAAATCGGTGAAATGGATCGTACCTACAGTTGATTGTTATTTGGCTTTCTTTTTCAGAATGGACAAGAAATCTTGCAAAGGAGAGGGATCCCGCATGTCCATTTACTTTGGTGTCCATGAAAATCAAATACGCGAACTTGTGCCTAAAACGAATTCAATAGGCGTAATTCATGAAGGTCCATTTTTAAAAATTACCGGCTTAGATGCCCTAGCGGATCCAAAAACTATCTTCTTCAGCGTAGAGCAAAACGGAGCAATATACAAGGTGGACCCAGCAACCGATACGATTCACTACATTAAGAATGTTGGCCTTCCTCAGTTTATCACAGTTGATTGGGGTACACAGAACATTTACTACTATAATGCCGAGTCTAATAGTAAATCAATCAGTATCTGCAGTTTTGAAGAAAAATGCGCCAAATTGATCGATATAGAGCCTCATCGGCAAGTTTCTGCATTGGCTGTGGATTCGGTTAACAGAGTTTTATTTTATGTTTTAAGAAGTTGGTGGGTGCTTGAATCGCCTAGTTATGCGATTTATAAAAGTAATTTAGATGGAAGTAATACTACAGAACTTGTAAAAACAACAACTGGTAAGTGGAAAGTATATTATTCATAAATTTATTAAAGCAAACTACATTTTAAATAAGACAAAAGTAGAATAAAGATATATATTGCATGGCATTCTATAATATATTCTTCACAGATTTTTTTTATAACGCTTGTTTTTTCCTGAAGGTCAATAGGCAGCTTGATTTTTGCTAAAAAAAGTCATGTTGATATCGCTTTTGGTTTTTGATTTCTATTTTTTTATTTCATCCCCTTCAACTCCCTTCTATTCAGATTTTTTTAAATCAGTAGGATTAGCCACTTATAGAGCTTGCTATTTAAAAAATTAATTTTCGTTTAAAAGTTAATTATTTTTTAAATACTTCAAACCCCCTTTAACGCCCTATTTTTATTTAGATTTTTTTTTTCAGAATTAATGGGCTTCATCTTCTTGTACAGCTTGATTTTTACTAAAATGTTGATATAGCTTTTCATTTTTTGATATATGATTTTTCTTAATTTTAACTCCCTTTGACCCCCATTTTTAATATATTTTTTTTAAATCAGTAGGCTTTGTTTCCATATAGAGCTTGATTTTTGCTTAAAATTTTAAGTTGATATCATTTTTTGTTTATGAGTTTTCTTTTAATGTTTCAACCTCCCTTTAACACCCCATTTTGATTTAGATATTTTTCAGAATCAATAGGCTTCATTTTCTAGCTTAATTTTTATTAAAAATGTCATGTTGATATTGCTTTTCGTTTATTTTTATATATGATTTTTCTTAATTTCAACCCCCTTTAGCCCCTATTTTTATTCAATTTTTTTTTCAAAATCAGTAGGCTTCGTTTCCTTATAGAGTTTCATTTTTGCTAAAAAATTTAAGTTGATATCATTTTTTTGTTTTTGAGTTAGGATTTTATTAATGTTTCAACCCCCCTTAACTCCCCATTTTTATTCAGATATTTTTCAGAATCAATAGGCTTCATCTTCTTGTACAGCTTGATTTTTACTAAAAATGTCATGTTGATATCGCTTTTCGTTTTTTTTTATATATGATTTTTAGGCTTCGTTCATTTATAGAGCTTGATTTTTCATGAAATTTTCAATTTCATATCGTTTTCTGTTTTTAACTTATCGTGCGGCCAAAAAATGTGACATCGGAAGGACAGACGGATGGACGAAGCGAATGCATAATACTCTTCACAGACTACTGTGTGAAGAGTATAATAAAATACTAGGAGATTACAAATATTAGGATAATCCAAAATTTTGCGTAATTTTATACTTTATCGCGTTTGATTGGTAATAAAAAGGGACTACATAACATAGGTCCAAATCTTAACAGTTGTAGAGGAAAAACGATCCAGGATTTTTAACTAAAGCTGGGAACCTGCTTCATGTTGAAAAGTAGCCAACCAGCAATAAATCCTGGTATGGGTCAAAGCGCCAGTGCTCGTATTAAATTTTTACATTAAATTAGTTTTTCTACGCCCATGTCAATAAACGTTAAAAATCGCACTTTCAACATTCCTTGTAAATGACATTTAACAATAACATGCACGTAATGAGATCTCATAACATACACGTGCGTTTTGATAAGAAAATTTAAATTTCTTGGTTTATTTAAATTGCATTCAATTTTTTGTCTACGTATGACTTTATTTGGTCTATTTGCATAAATTGAGTAATTTAAAAAACATAAAAACTTTTAGCATTAGCGAGATATATTTTAGATTAAAAGAGTGATGCCCCTAAATGTCGGCAACATATTATACAATTTTTCAAAGAATATGTTTTTTTAGCATGCTATGGAAATAAACGTCATGTCATTTATATTGTCAGTTTTTGTAACAAAATATGATTGTATCAGAACATTTTCTCAACTTTACCTACAAATATGTTTGTTAGCAGTGAAAGGGATAAAATTATGGGCACTCCCCCGTAGATTTTAGAAAAAGCTCAAGCTGCCACACATAATCTGTTACCGCTAAAATCTATAGAAAGGTACGAAATTACCTATCGAAAATTTGTGAATTGACGACACAAGCATAACGTTAAATCCTTTTTTGAGAATGTTTTAAGTGGGCGTAGAAAAAGTATAGTACGTTACACCAGTTGTAAACCCATAACGCACTCGCCGCTGCGCGGCTTCGTGCGTAAACTTTTTCACTTCGTGTGTAATGGGTTACTTACATCTCTTGTTACGTAATATACTATTAAATTCGTACATAAAGATTATAATATTAAACCATTATCATTGTCGTCATATTTATTATTATCTTTTTTTAAAATTATAATAAGGAATTTAGAGGGAGTGAAAGTTTTTAGTGTTAGAACCGATAAAAATTTAGTTAAGCCAATTGATAGATAGAAAACATTTTTTTTTAAACCATTTTGAATGTTATAGGGGTAATAAGAGATTTTGAGAGGGTTGCAGTTTTTATTACCATAACGAAATTTGTTTTTTTTTTTAAATTTAGTTAAGCCAATCGATAGATAATAAAAGCATATTAAAACTTTTTCAAATACCGTTTTGAATGCTGTAGGGATTTGGAGAGAAATGAAATTTTAAAGTCATCGTGTTCAATCGTCTAAATGCGATATGGACAATCCACTCTAGTTGTACACTATATTTTTTGCTACGACCCACTAACGAAAATCTACAAATTTAAAAAATTATTTTAAGTTATTAAGACAAATTAACTAATTTTAAAATAGTTTATAACTTTTACTAATTTATAAAATGAAATTAACATGAAAAGAAAAAGATTGAATTTAATTAGTTCCACGCTCAGATTGGAAACCGGGCCTCTCACGTGAGAAATAAAATCTCGAACCAAAAACTTTTATTTAACTTAAAATACAAAAATATAGATGTGTATGCTTTGAATGCTAACTAGGAACTCCCTTGAACTGATTACAACTACTTTTTTCTACACCCGTATTATAATAATGCACTTATATGCCCATAATCCGTTTCATAATGATACCCATTATGATACAGATTTTTCATTATGATACAGATTTTTAATCAATAGAAACCTACAATTTTTCAATCAAGCATGATGTTTGACGTTTGTCCTAAATTCCTATGTAATTGTTTTAGTTGTCAAAACGTATTAAATTTTCGTAGATAGCTAAACTTCGATAATTATAATATTAAAATGTCTGATATCAGCGATATAGAAGACTCCTCCACACATATCGGAGAAAGGAGAAAATGCAGTACAAAATATTTTGCCCCAAAAATCTGTGGTAATACCAATACCCAAGGTAATACCATTAATTACAATTTTGTAGAATTTTTTATAGAAATACGAGTAATTACTGTTATTGTGTTCAATGCCAATATAAATAGAATATTTGTAGGTCTTGATTATTTATCGGGTGTAGAAAAAATAGCGTATGCAACTCTCATGTAATGGTTATTAAAACACTCGCATAAACCATACGAAACTCGCCTTTGGCTCGTTTCGTATCCCGGTTAATGCTCGTGTATTAATAACCATCATTACATGATCGTTGCATAATATACTATTATATAAACAACTATTCTAAAATGCTAACTATGCAAAATTGTATATTTAATATATTTTCCATTAGTATGGGTGATATAACTCGTGAAAGACAGATACCGTATCCTCATCTCCCCCTTCACATTTAAGATTTTCATACTCGTAACGAAATTAGTTTGATATAACTAGTTTGATTCAAATTTAAGCTTTTTTCAAAATGTGGACCAAATAAAAATAAAAATGCTATTATTTATCGATTCTACACAAAAATAATTCATTTTAATGTATATTTAATCTTAATAAATAAAAAATATAAATACTAACAATTAGTTTGACAGAATTGTCACTTATTTAAAATTATAAAAATAGTAGTAGTTGGGTGTAAAAAACATGAACTGTGATGGGTGGATTTCATTTTTTTGCAGTGCTTTCACCTCTCACTACCTAGAATGGATATTAAATATATTCGTTCAGTTGAACTCTATAGCATACTTTTTCGTTTTGGAGTAGATAAGCCAATATTCATGTGGGTGTAGAAAAATATGTAGAAAAAGTTACAATTCAGTATACAGTTCCAGGTTTTTTTTTTTGTATATGGAGCACCTTGTATTTCTTTCTTTTTTAATCTTCTATTGTATTTAATACCAAATTTTGATTTTTGAATTTTTCGGAAAATCGATGCAGTGATGTATTTTTTGAATTACTATGTAATTCATAAAAACTACCCCAAAAATGTAACTCATTTAAAATTTTATAAAATTTTTCTTGAAAGCTCTAAAACAAAATATATCATATCGAGTAAATATATCCAATTTTTAAACCATGTACAGAGTGTTTTCAGTAAACCAATAAATATCAAATATGCTATATTAGTGTTACGTAATTTGTGTTCCAATGACAGGTATTATGTTTAATGCGAAAAATGAATACTACTTGTATCTTAAAATACTTACTAAAATGTTAATAAATGGTCGTAACGTCTATTTGTGTTTCCGTCATTTGTCATTGAAACGAAATCTGCGTTCTAACAAGAAAGGTCATATTCACAAAATTAGCAGTTTTTACTTTTTTAGATTTTTTGTACGTCCAGATTATATCTTTCATGGTGCTAATGCAGAATTTTCCTAAATATATTAGTACAGTCGTTTGGTTCTAAAAAAAGATGTTTCCTAGATAGTTTACGAGGTGTTTTGAAAATGGGTAATTTTATAGATTTCTGAATTTTTACTTTGCCACCTCGTATCTTTGGCACTCGTGCTGCCATATTGGAAAATTGGCATCTAAAAGCAGTTTTTTGACAATATCTTCTTTCCAACTAATTTCACGATAAAAAATTTATCAATAAAATGAAACTAGAGAAAATTTCTTACAATTTATGTAATAACTTTTGTGTTTCTTGGAAAATCAATGGTTTTGGCGCACGAGCGCCGCAAAGTAGAGTTCAATACGCGTTTTGCCTAAAAAACTAATTGTCACACCACTTTGAGGTAGAGTAAGCGGCGCTTTTTTTTATCGTGGTATCCCCAGTAGACCTAATTCTTATGCAATTCACTATTCCAAAATTTAGCGCTTTCTTCTTCGCTTCGCTGTTCTTGATGGACCAGGTGTTCTTAACAACATCAGCATATAAAAGTAAATTTAATATTGCGTCGCTACTACTAACAGAAGCAGCAGCACAACAAAATTCGTTCCGAACCTATCCCCAGTTTCTGCAGTGGTATGGCAATGAACAAAAAAAAAGGAAACAAGAACGGGCGAATTCCTATCACCATACTCGAGCCTCCAGCCCCGGAAAGCTTATTAAAACTTATTTCTTGCAAATGCAAAAAGGGATGTCAGAAAGCTTGTAGATGCGGAAAGGGTGGGTTAAAGTGCTCCGTTATATGCACGAATTGTAGTGGTACTTTTAATAACTCGCAAGTTTCATTACAAGATAGAGATGAAGGGGAAGTAACGGAGACTATTTTCAATAACGTATGATGAATCGAGAATGAAGAAGATTGCAATGATGCTAATAATTCCATGGCATATTTTTTTTTGTTAGAGTATTGTTACTTGTCATTATTGACTAACCTACAATTATTTTAATCTAAAAATCTTATAAACTAATTACTTATCTAAGAATCCCCATTGGGCTGTCTTAATTAATTCTATAGGAAGGCATCACAAGTTGGCGTGTCGATTTATTACACTATTTTACACTAGTACTAACATTAACGTTCACTGCACTAGCTCAAATGGCTTCTTTTTTTGAGCCTTCTGTTGAGTGTAGAGTTGTCCAGTAATTGCAGAGCTTTTTCGTTGACGTAGGAGTGGAGCCGACCCTCATGTTTCGCAGCAAACCTCTTTATTTATTCTTCGACTGTTGGCATCTTCAGGTCTCTATGAAGGTAAACGTTGGTTCCAAGGTGCATCAACAATGCACCTTAGGACTTTATTTTGGAAAACTTGTATCATGTTGATATTACTCTTGCTGGCACATTCCCGTAGCTGTATGCCATAATTCCAGATTGGTTTTAGGATTTGTTTATAAATCAGCAGTTTATTGTACACTGACAATTTGGATTTGCTTCCTGAGAGCCAATATATTTTTTTGAATTTAAGTGCAAGTTCTTTACGCTTTTTTATATGTGCTCTTTCCATTTAAGTCTTACATCTAGGTTCATCCCTAATTATTTGGCCGAATCGTAATGCGGAATAACGTCATTATTTTTTCTTATTTGTGTTTGTTCATTTGGTCGAAGAGTAAAATCAATATGCACTGATTTAATTTGATTTATTTTTATTTTCCACTTTTTTATCGATTGATTCTGTTGCAGGTTTCCTGAAGTTTTTCTGAGGTCTGTATTAGTTCTGCCAATTGCCAATATCGCAGTGTCTTTCGCAAATGTTTCTATTTTAACGCATTGTTGTTGAGGGATATTGCTGGTGTATAATAAGTAAAGAACCGGTCCTAGCACACTGCCTTGTGGGACACCTGCTTTAATTTATTTCATTTCGGAGTATGCTTCGTCTTGTTTTACTCTAAACATTCTTTCCGTTAGATATGATTGTAGAATGTCGACATATTGTCTAGGGAGCATTTTTTTAAGTTTCTGTATCAGGCCAGCGTGCCAAACCTTGTCAAATGCTTGGGCTACGTCAAGAAATATAGCTGAGCATATATATTTTTCTTTGTAAGCTTTTTCGATGATATCGGCTGTCCTGTGTATTTGAACTGTTGTCGAGTCTTTGTTTCTAAAACCAAACTGGTGCCAAGGAATCCGATTTTTATTTTCAATTATTGGTTTTAGTCGTTTTGGTAGTAGTTTTTCAAATAACTTACGATATTATCAGTAACAATGATATAATGAAACTTCATTCGGAGGTTTTCCTGTCTTAGGAATTAGGATAACTTTAGCCATTTTCCCCGCATCAGGTATATATTTAAGGCGAAATGCTGCATTTATGAGGAATGCCAATTTAACAATAGCATTCCGTGGTAGTTTCTTTAATATTTCTCCAGTAATAAGGTTATATCCTGGGGCTTTCTGTGAGTTGATGTTTGTCTGAATTTCTTGTAAATTCATTGTGAGTAACTAGCCTAATTTTAAGTTGTTCCATATTATGAATCGTCTCATTAGGAGTGTCTTGATTTTCATCTAATTGGAACGTCATTTGTAGGTGGTCAGCGAAAATATCGGCTTTCTGTTGATTGTCTCTTAGCCATTTGTTATCTGCAATTCTGATAGGAGGACAGTGTTTACACGAATTTTTCATCTTTCTTGTTGCCTTCCAGAGCGAATAATCAGTTTATATATTATCTGTTAGCCCTACTAGGTATCTGGTAAAGGATTCTTCTTTGTGATTTAGAATTTCTCCTCTCAGTCTTTGTATCTCTTGGTGATCTTGTCATCTGCCATTTCTTTCTTAGTTTTTTTTCTGCTACCAGTTCTCTTATCTCGACAGGATAGTTTTTTCCAGCTGTTAATCTTCTTACTTTTGGTGTGTTCCTCCATGCAGCTTGCTGGATTTCAACTATAAACCTTTCCAGTTCTTTATCTAGCTGATTTTTCGTTTTTAGTGTTATGGTCAGTTGAATAGTATTTGTTAAGTCCTCTTGAAAACCTTCCTAATTAGTTTTCCGATTTGCTAGGGTTGGTTTGGCTTCTTTTTGAATAACATTATCATTTATAGTAAGTATTACTGCAGAATGATCTGAATCCATATCAAAGTTTTCTACTTGTGTATGGTTTGGTGAAATTGTCCTCAGAATAAAGAAATCCAAAAGTTCTGAAATCTTATTTGGGTCAGTGGGCCAATAGGTGGGTTTTTTAGAAGATTGGTATGTACAACCAAGTTCTGATGCAGCTCGGTGCATGCAGCTCGGTGCAATTCTTTTCCTTTGACTGTGGTTAATCTTGAAACCCAGTTGGTGTTTTTGGAGTTATAAACTTGTTACCTAGTTTTTTGAGTACATTGAGATAATTTTCTTTTTTCTGGTTGTATCTTGGAGGGCAATAGATTGCAGCTATTGTAATTTTGCCCCCCTTAATGTTAATGATGCTGTTTACCTGATTTTTTGGTTCTTGGATGCCTGGTTCCTCATAGTGGGAAATGTTATTTTTAATAATTAACGCACTTCCTCCTCTTGCTACATTTGATGGATGGATAGTGTGATAGAAGTTGTATCCTCTGAATTTAATGTATGACTCCGTTGTAAACTTGGATATCAGTTTGTTTTCGGAGAATATCATTGGCATTTCAAGTGGCTATTCTAATGTCTCTTTTGTCCGTTGGTGGTTTTGTTATATATTCTGGTTATTAAGGATAATAATAATAATTCATGAGTGGTACTTTCTGCTAGGCTGGCTGACTATGCAGTATGCTGTGGAATTTGTGGCGTGGGATTCATGGCTGGTTGTGACCTTTGAATTGATTGCTCATGTAAGTTTGTTATTTGAGAATATGTTATTTCATTTTTGACAGTAGGAAAAGCGTTTATGGGTCTCTTCTGCCTCGTTATTATTTTAGGTTTAGTGGTGTTATCCTTCCTTATCTAAAAGGTTTTAACGACCTTACATCCTCTGTAGTTAGCAGGATGTTTTATTTATACTCTTCGGTTGTCCATCGCGGATGAAGTGGAAGAAATTTCGGTCTGTTCGTTTCGATCGGTATTAAAGGCAATGAACTCGCAACACCTGGTCCATCAAGAACAGCGAAGCGAAGGAAAATGCGCTAAATTTTGGAATAGTGAATCGCATCTGGATTAGGCCTACTGGGGATACCACGATAACAAAAACACGCCTCTTACTCTACCTCAAGGCATTGTGGAAATGAGTCTTTTGATCAAAACGCGTGTTGAACTACACTTAGTGGCGCTCGTACGCCAAAACTTTACGAAAACAAAAAAAGATTATCACAGAAATTTTTTGTAGTTTAATTTTTTTCCAATATGGCGACGCAAGCGGCAAATATACAAGGTGGTAAAGTTGAAATTGGTAAAGAGCACATCAAAATCTATAAAATTTTAAATTTTAAAAGTTTTGTCCCAAATAAAAAAACTACCTTTCGTTCTAATTTTAGTTATCCTATCTTAGAACTTAGAACAGGTTGGAAAAGAGTCTAAAAATTATCCCCTTGTTGTGTTATGGCATGAGGAAATAGCTGGTCAATGTAACAACGACATTACATCTGCATTACGAGCATTTTTACAGCTTCAGTAACATTGGTTACAAACCTAAACCTCTTGATTGCATTTAGGCAATACCCAGCACATTTACAATATTTGCAATATCATTATATTATTATATATTATATCATTATATATAACTTCATATATTACTTCATATAAACTTCATATATTACTTTGAAAATGAAATTAATCCATACAATTCTGAATATATTTCTGTTTTTGTGCTGCAGTAGAAATTTTCATTTTCATTTAAAAAAATGGAAAAATAGAGAATTTACAGGAGTTGCCTATAGATACTTAATAGCGAACTTTCCTTGTAAAAACACTATTTTCAATCATTGACCTTAGATACTCAAAAACCATTTTGTACCCACAATTCTAATGTAATAATTTCTTTATTTTTAGGCAATGTAGAAGATATCACTTTTGACTTAGACAAAAAACTACTTTACTTTCAAGACGACCAGACTCGTCAGATCAGCGTTGTAAGTTATAGAGGAGGGATTGTAAAATCTCTCTTCTATAATATCTCCCAGATCGAAGGACTCAAGTTTTTCGAAAACAACCTGTACTACTTACGTGATGATGGTTATGTCGTAAAATGCGAGTTATTCGACAGTGCACATTGTAAAATCCGTTTCAAATTGCATAATTTTGCTAGATACCATTTTGTTATAACTCAAGAATCTCTTCAACCCAAAGTTGAAAATGTTTGTAAAGGACACACCTGTTCATATTTGTGTATTACTGGAGACAGCAGTTACAAATGTCTTTGTCATAATGGAAGCACTAGTATGGAGAATGGCGCCTGTGGAATACCTCAAGTAAGTACTAATAAATAAGTACGAAATGAAACGAAATACTATTGGTATTATTATAGAGTACGGAAAGAGATATTTTTTACTTTTGCACAAGTAATGTACATTATTTTTCCTACGACCACAATAAAGCTCAATTAATATATGGCTAATTTTGGGTTCAGTTTTTATTTGCTTTATTGGTTTTGAATTGCGAATTGCATTTTGTCTAAATTAAAAACATTGCGAATACATTTACAAACACTTTCATATAACAACAAACATAAATGCCCATTAGGTACAGAAATACATGGTGTCACCGGATGGACTGAAAAAATGAAGGAAAAACTTTTGTATTTTCATCTTTTCAAAAAATGTTATCCTTCATAAAAGTTTTTGCTGGTTTCAAAACTAATAATACTCTAAACAGAAATTTAATATCTCTTTGATTTAGTGAAATAATGACAAAAATGTATAAAAGAATAACTAAAAAGAAATTATTTCACTAAAGCAAAGATATATTCAATTTCTGTTTCAATTGGCGGATTTAATTTTTTTGCAGTGTTCTTACTACCTAGAATGGATATGAAATACACTCCGTCCATTATTTATGGAATAATTAAAAATGAACCTAAATTTTAAACTGGCATATATTTGTTAAAAATGCATGTATTTCACCGGGGGTTTTAGAGTTGGATAGCTTTTTTCTTCATCTCTTAGAAACCAAGCCTTTATTTTGCCATTTGCTAATATTATACAGGGCATTTTACAAAGTGTGCACCCATGTAAAATTCACAAAATTTTAATTTGGGATTTGTATGAGCGTGTAAAATTTTTTTTTGCTGTAAGGACTTTTAATTATCAAGGATGGTAAAGTTATAGGTAATGTAAGTCATTTATACAAGGTGATTCAAAAGTACTCAAGCCTAAATTTAAAGATTTTTATAATTTGTTTTATTGGGGATAAAAAACAAAGAAAAATCTACCAATCTTAAAAACCCGTTAAGCCTTAACCTTATATCAATACTGTACCTGCCATAACACCATAACACAATAATAGCAATAATGTCCACATACAAATAATACTTGCACCATTGGTTTTTAAAGTTAAGTTGGCTTTGAGATGGTTGATGTTTTACTTTGACGTAATTTAGTCAGAGTGACAGTATAGTCATTTTAGTTTTTTGTTAAGTATATACCTATTGATTAGTCAGGTTTTCATTTGTCTACGGTTTTAAAATTATGAATAATAACCTCTTTATTACCCCAGAAGACTGTGCCTACGCTAGAGGACTTTTTGAACAGGGTTGTTCGCAGAGCGATATTGGACGAATTATGGAAAAAACTCAAGTGACTATTTCCAAAATTTCCAATCAAAGAAGAGCAGGTCAGGGCTGGCATAGGAAAACTACTCCTAACCAGGATCGTTTCCTAACTTTGCAGTGTCTCAGGGAACGATTTACAAGCACAACAAAGTTACAGGCGCGTTTGGCCAATATACATAATGTAAGAGTATGCAAACAAACAGTTCTTAAACGATTAAATAAAGCCCAGCTACAACCCTACGAGGCAGCGATTGGACCAAAGTTAGAGAGACAACACAGAATTCGAAGACTCCAGTTTGCTCGGGAGCATTTGCCTTGGGGTGAATGGGATTGTCTAACGTTTTATTTAGCGATGAATCCCGGTTTTGCCTTTACAGTAATGATAGACGCGTAAAAGTGTATAGAGGACCTGGCGAACGGTATGCACAATGCAATTTTAAAGGGCGTGTCAGTTACGAAGGGGGTAATGGTTTGGGGAGGTATTTTATTAGGGGCAAAAATGGACCTAGCTTTTGTAGAACGTTTAACGGCTGATCGATACATTGCGGAAATTCTGCAAGAGCATGTCGAACCATTTGCTCCATTTATTGGGGAAGACTTCCTGTTTATGCACGATAATGCACGACCGCATACGGCAAGAGTAGTAAGGGAGTATTTAGATGAAACTAATATTGCCGTAATGGATTGGCCAGCCCGAAGCCCAGATATTAATTCCATTGAGCATTTGTGGGATAAAATGGGTGTTGAGCTTCATGAGGCACCTAATCCGCCAGAAACGTTGGCGCAGGTACAATGGGCTCTACAGTTTTATATGGAATAATATTGACCCTATGTTTATACGGAATTTAATACTTAGCATGCTGAATCGCTGCCAGGCTGTTATTGATGCTCATGGAGGAAACACCCGTTATTAATTCTTTTGTTCATAAATTTAGTTTTGTATTTTCGTCTTTGTTTTTTATCCTCAATAACCCAATAAAACAAATTATAAAAAATCTTTAAATTTAAGATTGAGTACTTTTGAATCACCTTGTATAAATGACTTACATTAACTATAGCTTTACCATCCTTGATAATCAAAAGTATTTATGGCAAAGAACGCACTAAAAATTAGATTGTTTTTGTCTAAAGAAAGAATTTTGAAAAACCCTATTTTTTATTTATCACGCACCGGCACTGAGATGAAATTGATACAGAAGCTACTCAAAGGAAAGCTGTAACCAACGGTAAAAAAAATTCAATTTTTTCACGCTCGTACTTCCCAAATCCCAAATTAAAATTTTGTGAATTTTACATGAGTGCACACTCTGTAAAATGCCCTGTATAATATTGGCAAATAGCAAAATAAAGACTTGGTTTCTAAGAGACGAAGAAAAAAGCTATCCAACTCCAAAACCAGCATTTTTAACAAATATATGGCAGTTTAAAATTTAGGTTCATTTTTAATTATTCCACAAATAATGAACGGAGTGTATATTCGTTCAGTTGAAGGCAATAGCATAGTTTTTCGTTTTGTAATCTGTGCGAAGTTAATATCCATGTGGGTGTAGAAACAAATAAACATTATTAATATTGAATTTTTACTAGATTTTAGTATGACCACCCCAAAAACCCTCGAATACAATACATCATAAAATGTAAATGAGCAAATTCTAAGGGATTAACCAATAATTCTATACCGAAGTAACGGGAACACGAAATTACTTTAATATAAAAAATAGTAAACTGTCAATATTAAGTACTCACATATATTTTTATAAAATTAGTATACTAATTATTAGGTTAGGACATGACCTGAAATTTAATAATAAATATACACACAACCAAATTTACAAAATGTTCTTCATTTATCCGTTTCTTCCAAATAAAAAATGTTTGTCTTCTCTTCTTAATTTTCAAATTTTCCTTAAATATTGCCTCATCCAACAAATAATTTTATCTTTCTCTATAAGCACAGATTTTCTATCGTTCTCTCCCAAGCGAACTCTAATTCATGTAAAGTTTTCCACAATTTCTTTTTTAACGTTTGGCAAAGTTTCGTCTCTATTCATGTCTACTAAAAGTTTATCCAAAGTAAATAAAACGAATGTACTTTTCTTCTATAAGTCTATAAATGGTTGCTTTTCTAACTCCGGTCATATTTGAACACTTAGAAACTATACTCCGAACAGTACTATTAAAATGTTCATGTACAAGAGCGATATGTACATTTAAAACCAAAGTTTTTATATGTATGGTTAAATTGCACTTTAATTTCACAGAAGTATAATCATTCTGCCTGTTACAATCACAGGACTATACAATCGAAATGTAATTTACAATCTGCATAACACTTTCTACCGATTAGAAATTGTAATCCTTACCAAGAAAGTTGAGGGCTACTTAAATTCACCTTGAATTGTAAATATTTTCTACCTATAGATACTTACCCTATTTTTGTTGATTAAAATTACTAGAAAATTTAAGACAATAATTGAAATAAATTAGTATTTTTAAAAATTTTAGGAGTAAAACCAAAGATTTTATTTTGGAACAAATAATGCTAAACATTTTATTTTAGAAATTCTCCGTCGCTGATTTATAATGTAATATTGGGGTTTATCTCCTGGATCATCAAAATTTTGCTATCATTCATTTTTTAAATAAACTCTAGTTGTCGAAATCGCTACAGGGTAATCTCTATACCTTTTACTTTATTTATCCGAAGTATTTCCTTGCAAGGAAAAGGTAGAGATTATGAATACGAATTATAGTAAAACTTTTTACTTCTACCTTTTGCTTCTACCTTTTACTTCAAAGTAAATGCTTCATTTTTATAAATACGGCCTATTGTCTTTTTTGAACATGTTGGTTTTGATCTTTCGACTGCGAGACGCAATTCTGCAGTTGGCTTTGTTATGAGTTCCTCTATTCTTCGTTTTTTTTTTGGTTTGTATTGAGGCCTCTTCAAATGATTTTCGAGGTCCTCCACGACTTGAACTAGCTTTTTCGGGATTCACAGTAGCAAAAGATGTTATAATTGGGTAAAAAAGAGAATTTAGGCAGACTTTACGTCGTTTCTGAAATACTTTGCGATTTCTGTTAGCTCCTTTCCATATTTTCTCCAAGTTCATGCAAAAATGAACTTTTTTACGTAAAACATGCACTGTTTCATCCAAATTATCTTCATTTTTAAGTAAAGCCTTCAGTTTTAGAAAAATATTATTTGTTTTTTCTGATTTCCTCGACTTGAGCCAATATTCAAATAGCTCGATATTTTTGACAAGAAAATTATTTTATTCGCAAATATTCGCAAATCTTCGCAAAAATCAAAAGCAGTGCCATTTAGTTGAATACATACAAAAAAACAATTTTTAAAATTTCTTCCATATATTTTGACATATGTTTTATAAGTTTCGTCAAATATTAGAGTAAATAATTTCTGCAACGTTTGGTATAGACAATTTAAAAAAAATTATGTATCGAAAACTAAGCAGCATGAACCTGATTGAATAATCCCGATATTTCTACAAAAGGATCAGGAGGTACTGTATATGTTACTGGATTCTTGAAGATCTCACCTCTCTCATATAAAATTATAACAATATAAAATCGTCTCACGTTATAAAACTAAAATAGTATATTATGCAACGATCATGTAATGATGGTTATTAATACACGAGCATTAACCGGGATACGAAACGAGCCAAAGGCGAGTTTCGTATGGTTTATGCGAGTGTTTTAATAACCATTACATGAGAGTTGCATACGCTATTTTTTCTACACCCGATAAATAATCAAGACCTATAAATATTCTATTTATATTGGCATTGAACACAATAACAGTAATTACTCGTATTTCTATAAAAAATTCTACAAAATTGTAATTAATTATTAACCCATTGGTATTACCACAGATTTTTGGGGCAAAATATTTTGTACTGCATTTTCTCCTTTCTCCGATATGTGTGGAGGAGTCTTCTATATCGCTGATATCAGACATTTTAATATTATAATTATCGAAGTTTAGCTATCTACGAAAATGTAATACGTTTTGACAACTAAAACAATTACATAGGAATTTAGGACAAACGTCAAACATCATGCTTGATTGAAAAATTGTAGGTTTCTATTGATTAAAAATCTGTATCATAATGAAAAATCTGTATCATAATGGGTATCATTATGAAACGGATTATGGGCATATAAGTGCATTATTATAATACGGGTGTAGAAAAACTTTCTTAAAAATGTGATCTCTATATTATAACACGAGCGACATATTTTTAATGCTACTTTTCTTCTGTCAGCAGAAATTACTGTCAACAATTTGACGGTTGCTAATTTGTTTATCCAAGTCTACTATATTTTTAGATGCAAAGCATTATTTTTACATTTGGCTTAAATGACCAGGGCCGCCGAGAGCCAGACCGGGCCCTAGGACAATTCTCCAGATCGGGCCCCGCGACAATTCTATAAAAAATTAAATAGCAAAAGGTCTTCAAGCAAAAACTTCTTCTCCCCTACTTGAATTTCTCTAAAAAAACAGGTCTTCAAGTAAGAACTTCCCCCCTTCTTCTATCGAACTTCTGAAAGTAACAACACCACCGCTGCCGGGCCCCCCTTATACCGCTGCCCGGCCCCCATTTGAGCCCGGGCCCCGGGAATTAGTCCCGGCCGCCCCCCCTCTAGTCGGCCGTGTAAATGACTGTGGTATTTTGATTTTTGTCCGTGGGACGCAACACATAAGTAATGTATATTTTTTTGACTCTGTTTTCTAGATGTGAATGTTAACTTGCTGCCTAGGTACTTCACCTCTGATGCAAAGTTTAGTTTTATGTTTGGGAACGCTAGAGGTTTTAGTTCCATTATCATCATTTTTCTTGCGAAAACGATTTCTGTTTTCTTGGGATTCACGCAGTGAATGATGTTTGCACTACTTTTCTGTGATTTTGGGAGTTATTTGCAATATTTCGCAAAATATATTCTCAAAATTTTCTATTTGTAAACTAAATAGATTATTTTCATATATGCTACTATGGTGAGGCTGTTATTACTGATACATTTACTGCTCACAAAAATACCTAATGCGGACTCTATGGTCCAGGGATCTCTATCCGGCCAGTAACTAGGTAAAACACTGAATCAGTAGATCTGCCTGGACAGTATGCATGTTGTTTGGGTATAGTGATGTTGTGTAAGTTGACATGTGCCAATTCTATTTTATTTCCAAAAGTTGCTTCGTTTTCTATCAACAGTTGTGAAAATTAAATGTTTTTAAATATTATCCCAATAGCCCTTCATTCAGTTACTTTAGGTATGGACTATGCACTGTCATCTAAAATTTATTCATCTACGGCTTTCAACAAGGTATTTATTTAAAAAAGTTATCGTAATTTGAAATATTGAATATTTATGGATTTACTGTAAACATTCTGTATATGGTCTAAAAAATTTGGGATGTTTTCTTGATAGGTTACTGCATTGGTTACATGTTTCATAAGACATTTAAAAAAAATTAGGTCCATTAAAATATTGTGGCAGGTTTTATGAGAGCTAAGAGGTGCCTATCAATTTAAAAGTAGACACAATTGGCGGTGGAACAACCAACTCTCCACACGTGGCAGATAAACTAGTATTTTTTTTAAGGGGTGAAATCCGTTAAGGACATCCTTTGCTTGGGTCAATCGCAATAAGATAGCGTGGAGACTCCTGGGAACATTCAGATCCGCTCAGTATACCTACTAAAACACCTCTGGTCTTCTTAAGTGGCTGCTCCTGGTACTGCTGTAGGCATTGCTTCGGGAGAGCGAAGTTTTAATTGTTTTGGACCCTTCCTTGTACATCTACTGCTCTTACATTCTTCTCTCTCGTTTCTATGATACGTTTTGCGAACTTGCTAATGGTATTCCAGTTTTCTTTCTTTTCTAATATCTTGTTTAGTATATTATCTGTTGTTAACTTTCCCATACTGTTTTCTACTTCAGTTCTATCAGTCATCCATCTATCGCACTTGAAAAAGGTATGCTCAGGTATGTCTTCGATTTCGCAGTATATGCATTCTTCATTATATGCCACCTTAAATCTGCACCTGTATGCCTGAAAGCATCCGTGAATAGAAAATAATTGCGTAAGGTGTAAGGTGATATGTCATTTATCCATACTTTCTTTTGAGCCATGGATCTAGAGTGGGTATAAGTCTTTTCGTCCACTATTTGACGTTTGTTTCTGCCTACCATTTCTCTTGCTACTTTTGTATAGTTCTTTCAGTCGCTGTTCTTCTTTTTATTCCCTCTAGCATAGCGCACCTTTCTTCTACTAGAAAATATAGGGGTGGGGTTCTTGCGATCACCAATAGCGCTTTTGTCGACGCGGTCCTATACGAGCTCGTTATTCTTAGTGCAGCTTTTCTTTGCACCCTAATTTTCAAATAACAAAATTTAATTTTACAAGCGTTTTAAAAATAGAATCAAATAAAAAATATAGTTTGTTCCCTTTCCAAAAATGACCTTGTTACCTGTTCTGTAGTTGTAAAGCACCCTATATAGTCAAATAAAGCTTCTTTATAACTATGCAGTACTGAATTGGAACTTTTTTCTTCTAGTTTAGTTGTTATGCTTCGAGCGGTTGTAGGAAAAAAGTTTTTTTTTTAATTCGCCCATGGAATTAATGCATTGCTGCCAATCCTTATATTTTTTAAATTATGCATGGTATTTTGTTTCAGGATGACAAGGGTGTGAATAAGTTCAAAGTCACTTCCGTTGCATTGAATCCAAGTTCATCTATACATTCACCTGGAGCTGTAGCGTCTGGAATATTAATTCCTTTGGTTTTGCTTATCATTGTAGGTGTGTTTTACTACATTATTAAGAAGAAGAGCGATGGAGGATTGGCTATTAGGTAAGTATTAGGAGATTTAGAAATTAACAATACATTTTATACCTACCTATATCAAATTTCGTCGTATTGGTCGTGAAAAGAGCCTCATTTTTAGGTTAAACTAATAATAATATATCTTTATTTTTATATGAATAATACATAAAAAACAAGTCAAGGTACATGAGTATATAAATAAAATAAGCGAAAGATATAATAGTAATAAAATAAAATACGAATCAAATAATAATAATAATGAAAATTAAGATTAGCGACAGTTATAATGATATAGATAATAAAATTAAACATAAATGTAAATTGTGATTAAAATTGGACTTGGTGAAATAATAAAAACTCTTCAAGGGTGTATGGATTAACATGGTTAATGTGTTTTTTAAGATTTTTTTTAAACTGTTGATGTTTGAGCATTTTTTAACATAATCTGGAATAAAATTGTACAACATACATCCATTAAAAAATGCCCCTTTTTGATATAGAGCAGTATTGTATTGATTAGACTGTAGTGAATTTTTATATTGAGTAGAGTATGAATGATCTGCATTCTGTAAAGTGAAAGAGGAAAAATTGCATCTAACATAACATAAAAGCTCATAGATGTAAACTCCGATGGCAGGTAAAATATTGAGCTCTTTGAAGACACTTCTGCTGGTTTCTCCAGGTTTAAAGTTAGCTAAAATACGTATGGCATATTTTTGAATGATAAAAATTCTATTGAAATCCTTACAAAGACCCCAGTGTATAATACCACACCTTAAATGGCTACGAAAATTAGCAAAATATAGAGTTCTTGTTATATGGCTACTACATTGTTTAGTCATGACACTAAGTGCAAAACAAGACGACGATAATCTTTTGCTAAGCTGTTCAACATGTACGTCCCAAGTTAAGTGGCAATCCAGATAAATACCATGTAATCTTATATTATTAGCATATTCTAAGAAAGTTGCATTTATATGTATTCCGTTGCCAATTTTAGATTAGATTTATTAGATGTAAAAACCATGCAGGCAGTTTTATCATTATTTATAGTTAACTTGTTGTGATACATCCATTCTTGTAGACTAGAATATAATAAATTCAGATTTGCTTGGAGATTAGAAACATCTTTGAGTTTTAGGAGAATATGTGTGTCATCAGCATAACAGACAAGTGAATTAATTGCATGGCCTAAAGCACATTTTAAATCGTTAGCGTAGATGATGAAGATGAGGGGATCAAGTACCGAGCCCTGCGGTACTCCTAAAGAAATTTCTACCGACTCAGACAAAAAGGTCTCACCAGCAGATCTAATAGAAACTTTTTGAGTGCGAGCCTCTAGATAAGACTTGAACCATTCATGTACTATACCACGTATTCCATGATGCTCGAGCTTAACCCATTAACGCCTAGTGTTGCCATTTGTCTTCTTAAAGAAAATATTTGCGGCAAATGAGATAGTGCAGGGGTGGGATATTTATGCCGGTTGGCTTGCTGAGATGTGCAGTAAGCACTGAAGCTGTTCAATTTTAGTCGATACAGAGTAGTTGAGCTGTACTGTGCATTTGTTTCTGACGTTATTTTGTGATATGTGAAAAAATGGACATTCGCTTTAAGTAAGTACTATATACCAGACGTGGACTATATTCATAAAACTTTTCTATCGCAGAAGTATTTCATACACATGAACAAAGATGATCTTGCATGAAATGAAATATTTAATTCAAAAATGTCATAGCAATATATGTGTCAATCCAAGCGTTGCCATATGGCAACACTAGGCGCTTGCAATACCTACATCTTTATATTCTCTATTTTTTGTCTAGGAGAGGTGCTTCTTTTTCTGAAGCACTCGAGATGGTATATCACGACGACATTGACAGTGACATATTTGTTGAGCCTCCAGATCTCAAAGTAGAGACGGACGAGGATTCCGGAGAAGAGGATCGAGGCGGGTAAGTTTATTTCAAAAAAGGAACGTTGTCATATTGAAACAGCAATTGAAAGACAAGATGGACTATTGTATGCTAGATGGATGGATAACGCAGTAGTGACGATAATTTCTTCTTCATGCGACACCCAACCTGTGCGTCAAGTCAAAAGATTTTCACAGAAACACAAGCGCAATGTACAAATTCGAAGGCCAAAATTAATAGCAAAGTACAACTCATTTATGGGTGGAACTGATCATATGGGTCAAAATGTGGCCTGTTACCGAATTGGCATACGTGGAAAAAATAGTACTGGCCTATTTTTACGTGGTCGCTTGATGTTGCCCTCCCAATTAGATTTTAAAAGAGAAGTAACCAATACATATTTATTGAAATATGGTATGCGTGTGCAGTCAAGAAGAACTGAAAGACCATCAACCTCACCATCATCAGCGGCCGACAGTCGAATATCCAATGATATTCGATTTGACAGAATTGATCATTTGGTGCACCACACCGAAGATAAAAAGGAAAAGAAGATGTGCTCGCAATACATGTATGTACATTAATTGTGAGAACAATATGCTCAAAATGCAATGTCGGCTTGTGCATATAGATTGTTTCATATCGTTTCAGACTCGGTAACATGCTTGAAATAATTGCTTTCATGTAGTCACAAATTTCAATTTGTTCTAATATTATTATTATTATTATTAGTAAATTTTTAAATTACCCATTGTAGTTTTTATTTTTTTTAAGCGACTCGACTGAATTGGTCATAATATGCAATATAAATTAAATATTATATACCCGACAAAACTAGGTAATGTAAGCGCCTAGCGTTGCCATATGGCAACAGTCAATATCTAGTAAACGGTTAGAGTACGACAATTTTTTTTCTTATACTTTTTTATTAGGTAGATCATCTAGACAAATAATATTGTAATATAAAGTTAAATTTCAAAAATTTAGAAATTCCGGCGTTAATGGGTTAATCAGAAGTAACGAGTGATTGACACAGTCAAAGGCTTTTGTAAGGTCTATGTACAAACCAGTAGCTGCAAATCGATTGTCAATTGCATCTATAATCTCTTTAACAAATGTAAAGAGTGCCGTGTCAATGCTCCGTCCTCTAATAAACCCATGCTATGAATCATTTATTAGACCATTCCGGGTAATATAGTTACTTAAGGAGGTCCTTTCGCCACCCCTTTCGCCACCAATGTTAAATAAAAAATATTAGATTATGACTAAAATTAATTTTTTTCTAATAGTTGAAGTCCTTATTTATCTAATGTTGAACTTTTAATTATACCTTACCGTGCAAATTTTTGAGATTTTTTTTTTTAAATGTGAGTATTTGTGCAGTCTCTTATGAGAAAATAAGACCTCAACAACAATTCTCGAATTATATTATTATTTATTGATTAGATGGAGTAGAAAAAAACCAAAAATAGGGTTTTTGAAATATTTAGGTTTTGTTTTTTACAATAAAATATATAGGTTACCTTGGAATTTATTGAGAAATTAATATTAAAAAAAAATTTGAAGTAACCTATTTAAAAATTTTTTGTGATTTTTTAATATTAATTTCTCAATAAATTCCACGGTAACCTATATATTTTATTGTAAAAAACCAAACCTAAATATTTCAAAAACCTTATTTTTAGTTTTTTTCTACTCCATCTAATCAATAAATAATATTAAAATTAATTATAATTCGAAAATTGTTGTTGAAGTCTTACTTTCTCGTAAGACACTGTACAAACACACACATTTAAAAAAAAAAATTTTCTCAAAAATTTGCACGGTAAGGTATAGTTAAAAGTTCACTATTAGATAAATAAAGACTTCTACTATTAGAAAAAAATTAATTTTAGTCATAATCTAATATTTTTTATTTAACATTGGTGGCGAAAGGACCTCCTTAAATTGTGATACATGATTATCTCATAAATTATTAAAAATGTAGAAAGCAGGCTAATTGGTCGATAGTTGCAGATGTCATTATGATTATCCTTTTTAAATAAGGGTAAGATTATAGTTTATTTACAACCAAATATGTAATGTTGTCATTACTAACGTCATTGAAGGTTAGGAAGTGTCACATTACACACCTCTACTTCCCGCCCTCATTTCATCTATTCTAGATGAATATTCTTTATATTTAAAAAAAATAACACATTTTTTTGACAAATTTTATAATACCTATTTAATGGCAAACAATAAAAAACAACAATAAACTAAAATACAACAAACTACTTGGGGAAAATTCCCGATTGGAAAGAAATATTAATAAGATAGATTAATGGTAATAAAATGTGCGTTTTGCACTTTTTAAGTAATATACTTGAAATTTCATCGAAACCACAAGCTGTGGAGGATTTTAACTTAGAAATTGCTAAAGAAACGTCTTCCTCGGTAATATGAGGTAAAAAACATTGAGTTTGATTTTTTGTGGTCGAAGAAACGTAGTCTGTATTATTTTGTTTGTTGAAGTGCTGATGAGAAGTAATCATTAAATTTTTTGGCAGTGGAAGCAGGGTCTAAAATCTTATCATTCTCTTTTACTTTTATTTCATCCCTGTGCCCTACGCGTTTACCACTTTTTTTATTAATTATTTCCCACATTTTTTTGTTTTATTTTCTGCAGATGAAATCATCGCATCATGTTGGTTTTTCATTGAGTTGCTTAAGAGATTTTTGTAATACTTGTCCACTGCAGTATATGAGTCTTTTAATTGAGGATAAATGTTTTTTAAATCTCCTAGAGTAGTTAAAATATTTCTTGTATGGACAATTTCTGGGGAACTAGCTAGATTATAATGTGAGTATTTATGTTTTGATGAAGGATAACATTTCAGTGAGAAACAGATATTAAAATAATGTGTAAATGTTGCAAAAAAATTATCGAAGAATAAATTTGGACAAGATTTGGCCTTGACATTTGTCCAATTTTCTTTTGATAGGAAATTACAGAATTCAGTTATGTTGTGTTTAGAAAAGCTACGTTTAATTTCATTTTCTCTGCAAAATGTAGTATCCTCAAATGGTATTATAATAAGCTGAGCAAAATAATCTAGACAAGGTTTTAAA